TGGGGGGGGGGGGGGTGTTGCAGCCACAAGGAAAGGGAGGAAGGCGCTTCACGAACGCACAGAGTCGAAAAAAAAAAAAAGGGCAGAGCAGGTGTGCCGGAGCAATCGATCTTACCAAGGGGAGTGTAGTTGAAAGGGGATCTCAAGTGCGCTTCATTCAACTGGCGGTGCCGTCGACCAGCCGTCGAACCAGCGACGACCAGGTTCAAGCACTCGGCGCGCGATGCTTGTGGCCAACGATGGCGGCACACACACGCACGCACACGCACACGCACACAGATAGAGAGAGAGAGAGAGAGAAGTGACGACGTGACCTGAAAATGAAGCTGACGACGTGCCAACGCGTGTCGTGTGAGAGGGAGAGAGGGAGGGAGTGGTGGGGGAAAGAGAGGGGTCGCAGGCCGTGTGGCGTTTTCAGAGAGAGGTAGAGAGAGTAAGGGAATTTCGATGGAATTGCCTTTGTTTGACAGTGTTGGCCAGAGAATGTGGTGCAACCCGCAATGTATCGTAGAGATGGTAAAAGCCACTGGAGCATGACCAGAGAGAGAGAAGCAACACGAAAACATATGAAACACACAAAAGGGAAACACAAACACAAAGGGAAATGGCATGTGGGACCACAGAAGATGTGGCGATGGCGGGGGAGATGGGGGATTTCAAGGCTGGTATAGATGAGAAAGCCAAAGACCCATAGCATGGACCCACGGTGATGTGACTTTGCACACGCAGAGGGTGATATTCGACCTCCAAGCGTCTTGCTTGTGTCGACTGTACAACGCCACCAACGCACAAGCCAAAAACACAAGCCAAGAGCACAAGCCAATCAAAAAAAGGGCAAAGGTAAGCCAGCGCTGAGAGGCGATGGCACCACAGTGAGCAACGTCACAAAACAAAAGGCAACTCATGACAAGCCGGTGATCACGTCATTTTTTGTGGGGCGAGTAGGATGAAGTGTGGGTGTGCAGCATGCACGATGGTGTGTCAGTAGGGTACTTTGTGGGTATTATGGGTCTTATAATGCGCAGACTCCCGTACGAGCTCGAAATGGGTCACGAAGCGAGAAAACGTGGTTGCGTGTCGTTCACACCGAGCGGCACTGGCGGCGGGGCGAGACAACACCTTCGCCAATGCTCAAGAATACTTTCGGATCAGGCACGAGCCACAGCCACAACCACAACACCATCATGCATCATTCCAAGAGAAAAAAATCCACAGGAGATGATTGACCGAGCCTGGCCTCGGTAGACCGCCCCGGCAGTCATCACGCAACAACTGTTTCTCCCCTTTTGACGTTCACCAGCGTGTGTGTGTGCCTGCACAACGCTCGGATGGTTCGGTGGGTGCGCAGCAACGTCATGGATCGCGCACAAGCAAAACCCACACTGAAACCATTGTCGCATGTCAGTCAGTAGGACTGCAGTAGTTTTGACCCCCACCCATGGTAATCAAGACGTTGATTTGCGCTGCTGCCATCGTATCAACGAGCGTCACCTTTCCCTCATCGTTCTTGCTCGTTTGTGCCGGACCGGTGATCATGACTGCGAAAAATTCGGCGTCACCCGGTCCGAGCGAACCATCTTGAAGGCTGGCTGCGCCCAGTCGGTCGGGTCGAGGATCATTACCCCGTATCGCTTTGCATCATTGGGTGGGTGTTGGTGACAGGGTCGAGAAAAGGCACACAATCAGCGTTTTTGCACCCCTCTTCTCTTCTCTTCTCTTCTCTCTCTCTTAAGGAATCTCCCTGTCGCCCCACTTGCAATTCCCCACAAACTGACGCATGTTTGTGGTCAACCCATCCATGTTGGAAGAAACCAATCCGCAAACCAATCCATCTCCATACTCGACAAAAGTTCGTACCTACTCTTGACACTGTTGTGGCAGAAATCGGCGCCCCCCGCGAATTGTTCAACAGGCAAACACCCTTGGCAGCAGCCAACCCAACCTCCAAACCAGAACATGACCTATCACCCCTTGCAGGCACCTGCACTGACTGATCTCTCTCTGCGCTTTTCTCTGCGCCACTCTTGATGCGAGTGCGAATGGACTTGTGCGCCTGTCCGAACCGTGCGTGGCGATTGCAATCATGCCTCTGGTCCCTTGCTGGCGCGATTTTCGTCGCCGAGGAAGCAGATAGCAGAGTGAGGGAGAGAAAAACACGCCAAGGTCGAGCACCAGGCCATTTGGGAAAAATCGCCAGACAGTGAAGACCGAGCCCACAGCGTGCGTCCACCCCCCAGACAAGTGATGACAGATCATTGATCGTTGCTGCTGGTGGTAGTGGCAGTAGTGGCAGTGGCAGTAGTGGCAGTGGCAGTAGTGGCAGTGGCAGCAGTGTGGCACACTGAAGATCACCCGATTTGCCTTATCGGCCGCCCGGCCATGGCCGCGCATCATGCACGGCACACAACCTTGAAGGCTGCAAAGCGTGCTCATGGTCGCGCAAGGCGATGTAGTGTGTTACATTTCGCACTTTAGCAGGGGGACGGTCAATTGTCATCATTTTGGATGTCATGCTTTTTTTTCTTATGGCGCACGTTGTCGGCGACATCTGAGCCGACACAGATGGGCATCGTGCCGATATCGTGCCAGGAGAGAGAGATTCAATGTTGCTTGAGATGTTAATGGAGACGATCAAGGCACGCCAACAAATTGAAGGGTTCCCCCTTCTGAACAGTTCACCGGCATTCCCAAGCACTTGTGTTTGCTTTGCAAGGCCCGACCATCATCCGCGCCAGGAGAGTGTTCTCCTTTGCCCTCTGTTGTGCTTGATGGGTGGTTCACGACTCTTGTTGTTTCCCGAACATTCAATGTTGACCAGAAACTGGTTCGAATGAAGTGATTGGAATTGCTTCGACTGCTCGGCACTCAATGAACCTTTGAGAAGCACACATCGTCTAACTCGACGCCTCCGCTGATGCAGCCGGCGTCACCCGGACATCATACACCTGAGCCAAGCACCACCGCAAATATAAGCGCACAGCATACGAGCGGGAACCCGTTGCGAGGCCGACCAGATTGACGAACCATGTGATAGATTCGAGGCGCATACGACTTGACACACTCAATGTGCTGTACCGTACAAGCCACCCGCCCCGCGCTCAGCGCCTGCACAGACCCGAACCACACCCATTGATGAGCTTGTCAGGTCACTGGACGAACGAAGACCCATCCATTGATCTGCATGCCACTGCCGTCTTACGCACCGTCAAGTCGGCGCACAGCTGTGCGCCAAAGAGGGCCCATACGGCCTCATTCTGCTCTCCCTCCCCGGTAGTCACATTCTCGTGCACGTGAAGCATGCCCCCTCGGTCCGGTCGCAAGCACGCCAATGCCTAGCCAAGCGCCAAGAGACCCAAGGATCGAAACTTGTCAGCAGTGCCGCGTCCCCCACATTCCATCGCCGCCCATCCCAATTTTACTTTGAAAAAAAAAAAAAAAAAAAAAAAAAAGCTTGGCCCGTTCACGGGCACGTACCGTGGCCCAAGACTCTTTGCTCGTGGGAATGAGGCCGAGGTTGACGCGATCAGCGCAGCCCACCGGGGCTACCTGCCGATTGTCCCCCTCGTGAACTTCACACCGGTCCGCCACCTATGGCCCGCCCAGGGTACGTGTAACATGATGAACACGAGCGGGTTCAACAAGTCAGCACGCCGTAACCAGCAGCCCTCTGCAGCATTCACCTGATTGAGCTTGAGATTGCGCCGGAGGGCTTCAACGGCATGCGGGTTCCACTCGCAGGCGTGCAAGAAGCGCGCACGCGCATGGACTAAATATGGGAGCGTAAAATAGCCAATCCCCGCAAAGAGATCCACCACCACCTCGTCGGCACAGGGCAGGGCCGCTACACGCAGCTTTTCCGAAATGTTGCCCGCCGAAAACATGCACCGCGTCACATCGTACGTGTAGCGCACGCGATTGTCAACGTGCTCGACCCAGCCATCCGCACCCAACACCAACTCCACCTGGGCCTCGCGCCGCAAATTGTCGGCAATGGCCCGTCGAATGGCCACCCGCTCCTTGCCGAGCGCGCCTGCCACACAAGCCCAAAACCCCTCTCGACCTGCAAACAACACGAGTCAGGCCATCATTTAAAAACTGAGTAAGACGGCACCCACATGGTCAAGTAGATGAGGAGCGATCAAATGAAGAAGTGCTGATGAAAGCTCCGCTCTTGCACGCAGACATGGGCTTTGGCTGCACCGACGATCATGGGTCGTGGCACACGGCGTACCTCGCAGGTCGTGCCATTGTGGCGTCGAAAAGGCCGAGGCGGGAAACATGACCAAGTCGCCGTGCACCTCAAACTTGGGAGGCAGAGGCAGCGCATCCGACTGTCCAAGCTGAGCACCCGCTTTGACCAACGACGGATCACCTGCAGCACACCAAGCCTGCAGTGCCTGTAAAAGGCGCTGTTGCGGCTTTTCAGCCCGCACCCGCTGCTTCAAGGAAGCGTCCAGCTCGACTTTTGCTAGGACCTGGCCCAGATCACCAATGCGAGCCGCCGTCTCGGTATCGGCCAGCCCAGCCGGCGTCACTGGCACCAGCAATAGACCCGCCCCATCCGCGGGCAAGTCATCGGCCGCACCCCGTCCAATCTTCCGAGACGCATCGTACACCCCCAAAGCTTCGAGCGTCCGCCTGCACAAATGGGCCACATGAGACAAAGACCAAGAAAAAAAAACACACACACACGGCAACCATTGACCATTGACCATTGGCCGTTGTTCATTGGTACAAGCACCCACTCACCGAGCCTCATTCGCCCGCCCCGCAACCACCACCACCGCCGGTCCCCGCACACCACCCTCCATCATCAGCGGACCACACGGATTTAAAAATTTGCGTGTGTGTGTGTGTGTGCGAGAGAGAGAGAGAGAGAGAGAGAGTGGTGTGTGTGTGTGTGTGTGTGTGTGTGTGTGTGTGTGTGTGTGTGTGTGTGTATGTGTGTGTGTGTATGTGTGTGTGTGTGTGTGTGTGTGTGTCACGCGAATTATTGCTTTTGACAGCTTTTTCTGACAACCTTTTCTTTTTTGGCTGGCGCTCCCGACCAACCCAACTCTCTACCTCCTCTACTGACCTCCTCTGCCTCCTCTACCTCCTCTACTGACCTCCTGTACCTCCTGTACCTCCTGTACCTCCTCTACCCCTTCAACGTCCTCTACTGACCTCTACCCCCTCTCCCCCCTCTATCGTCCTCCAGCCTCTACCTCCTCTACCTCCTCTACCTCCTCTACCTCCTCTGACCTCCTCTACCTCCTCGGCCTCCTCTACCTCCTCTACCTCCTCTGACCTCCTCTACCTCCTCGGCCTCCTCTACCTCCTCTACCTCCTCTGACCTCCTCTACCTCCTCGGCCTCCTCTACCTCCTCACCCTCCTCGTCTGCCTCTGCCTCTCTACCTCTCTACCTCTCTACCTCTCTACCTCTCTACCTCTCTACCTCTCTAACTCTCTACCTCCTGGACCTCCTCGTCTGTCTCTACTGACCTCCTCGGACTCCTCAGCCTCCTGGACCTCCTCGTCTGCCTCTACCTCTCTACCTCCTCTACCTCCTCAGCCTCCTGGACCTCCTTGCCTTTTTTGAGCTCTGCTCTTCCATCCTTTGCTGCCTCTGCTGTCTCTCTCTCTCTGAATTGATTTGGCAGCTGTGCGGGTTATTCAAGATGGATGCGGTGGCCGTGACGACAACGCGGCAATTCAGCACCAAGCGTAAGGATACTGACCCCGACCGCTCTTGGCGCAAGTCCAGACCAACACACGGTGCCTCACGCATCAACCTTGTGGTCTTTTTGCTGCCCTCGTGCAGTGGGAGAGAAGAAAATTCTCAACGTCGTCTGGAGCAACGACGGTGACCCACACCACTTTATATGCTATCAAGGCCTGCAAGAATGGCGCGGATCATGTACGGGTGGATGTGCGCCGCTCCCAGGCGCTCCTCTTCCCCCTTTGAAGAGCCGAACCAGCACCAGTTCTCACACTCTTCCCGATCGCATCCGCCTCCGCCTGCAGTATCACCCCGAGAACTGGAAGTGGCCGCACGTAAACTCAATTTGGACGCTCAACAGCTGACGGAGATGCTGCAAACGGCCATTCAGAGTTGGTCCACCCAAACCACGTCATGCTTCTTTCATTGAAGACACCGCCCTTGTCAATGTGTGCCCAATACTTGGTCTGGCTCAACTTCTCCTCTTTTGACACAGAAAGCGATGCCCGGCTGGAAAAGGATGGCCTCGACCCAAGGCGCCTCCTCTTGACCTGGTCCAATGACGATCGAGTCTGTTGAAGCTCGCTTGCTCTTGATCTCATTCCAATGGACATGCTGTCGCCCTGATGTGCACCTGTACCCTCGTGTCCCTCCCTAGACGTTGGCGCGATGCGTGCTCAAACCTCAGTCGTCCCGCCACACGGCTGCGACAGGCGTGGCTGCTGTGTTGCGCTCCTTGACAGCCTCAATTGCCGTCGTGGAGGTGAGTATCGACCAAGCCGAAAAACATGCCGCTCGCCGCCACCACCACCGGCTCGTGGAAGCACCTCACCACAATGGTTGGCCAGGACGAGCTCCTTGAGCTTCAACGATCACGTCGCGCACGACTGCAAACCTTTCGCACAGCATACCGACAATTTGAGTCCCATGTGCAGCATCGCGTCAACGACTATGAACACATGATGCTCGTGGTATACACCTCTCACCCGATGCTCTTCTCTCTTCAAAGGTCTTTTTATTGTCACAATCACATCACATCCTCACCCACCGCCAAACGCACCCATGTCTAGGCGCAGCAGCTAAAGCACAACAAGCGGCAATACCTCAATCAGCTACATAGTACGCTTTGTTGCCCTCACCCTGGCAGCGCAATCTTTTTTTGGCTGATAAACCCGTCTTCCCCAGATGACGCCCCCGTGCCCCAGGGCAGTGACGCTGCCTCGCTGGGACTCTTATCACAACCCCACCATGACTCGGACGAGCAAACTGACGACACAGATCTCGAAGATCGTCCTGGTAGCCCTGATCAGCCTCTTGTCCAGCGCAAGCGCAGGTGCGCGCTCCCTCTCAATCTCTCGACTTAGACCTTGGCTATTTGTCAGAGCGCTATCTCATGCACACTGACAGTTTGGGCTTGGACTCGCCCGCTGAGGACCCTCCGCAGCGTCGTCGGCGTGGTCGGCCGCGCGCCCGTGTCATGCAACACCAGGCTGCTGTTGACAATGACAGCAATCCCTCGGGCGAACCTTCGGCCAAGAAACCGAACATGGGTCCAGCAAGCCTTCGCCGAAAAGCGCCAGAAACCTCGGTTCTGCAACGGCAAAAGCCCATAGAGGCCTCACCCGGCAGTATCGTCGTTTCGCCAGCCCTAGCTTCTCGTTCCATCTCCAAGCGGTTTGTGCTTGCGTCCCTTGTATCCCTGCTTTTACTCATGCCAAAGTGCTCGTCGAACACTCGTCTCCCAACCTGCTCTCTTACGCTATCGCCGCTGCGACTGTCGCAATGATGAAACCTGGCAATACCGGCACCCATAGAACTTCGCTCGACTCGCTGCGTAGTGATGATGACAAGGTAGGGACTCACACTCTCCTTTCTCGCTACTCTCCTCTTTTCTCCCTCTTGTTTGATGGCCCACCGTGCCCACCTGTCAGTCACTCTCGGCTTCATGTTGTGAATTAGAATTTGCTGGATGAACTCTAGCCTCTTCGCTTGCTCTAAAAGAATCATGCTGAGGCGGTTTGGTTCCAGTCCACCACCCTGAAGGATATTCTTCTTGTAATTGAGATAACGGTAGTAAAAGCTTGTCTGCACCCTTGCGTGCCGAATTGGCCCCATTCAAAATCCGATCCGGAACGGAAGTTGAGACCGATCACAAATTCATTTCGGCCCTTAGCTCCGGCCCAATTTAAACGTTCAAGAAAACGTTCACAAAACCCAATTCTAGTTCGACATGAAACTGAGCTCAACGTCGTTGACGAAGCAAGCAGGCACCGCAAGCCGGAATAAAAATCAATAGCAGGGTGGCGGTGAGGGGGCCGCACGTTGAGTCGATGGGCTCTTCAATGCTATCATCACCTGATAAGAAGACTCTTTGAGAAAAAAAAACCAAAAAAAAAAAAAAAACAAGGAAAAAGCATTATCGAGATATGATGTTCAGGCGCGAGTTTGGCTGATGATGCATCAGGACTAGGATTTTTCACATGTGAGCAATTTAAACGTAGTCTCCCAGCGTCTGCGGCCCACGCCCGGACCAGTGCGCGAGACCAAAGCAGAACTCGCGTGAGAAAATAATCAAAAAATCAGAAATGCTTGCGACACCACCGAAACAACTCCCACCATAATGAGGCACCACATCAACACGCAACTATCCTTGGCCACAGGCGGTGACTCAAAAGTAGACGGACGCCTATTTACTCGTGTAGTAGACGATCAGTTCGGGATACATCTGCGCATTGTCAAACATCACCACTTGGATATTTTCTCTTGGTGGTGTGGCGATCACGGAGTCATATCTAAAGGCAAGCAAATACGGTGAGACAGAAAAGCAGGGCGTGCTTTTCAGAGCCATTAGCTTTTTTTTTTACTCCACTCACCGTTCGTTGTTGGGCGCGGGGTCTAAGAGTGGCGGGGCGAGGGCTCTTTTAGCAGGCAAAGGTTTCACATAGGCATGGCCCAGGAGAGCCCGCACAATGATCACGATGCGAACGCCGTCGGGTCCAGGGTGGGCGTAATGGTGACTCTAGAATGCACGGGGCGCGTCATCAGATTGCATGCGAGGATGCTAGATGAAGATGCCTCAGAGAAACGTGAAAGAATGAACCACGCCATACCAAGCCAGGATGGTCGGCCAAGTAGATTCCATATCCGAATCGATGGCCAGTGCTCTGGCCAGCAAATCGGCAGTCCATGCCCAAGCGCACAATCTTATCGCGTCGTAAGATACCTGAGCACTTGTCAGACTTCGAGTCACGGCAAGGTATTCCGTGGAGCAACAGGCGCTCCTGACACGAAGTTTCGCGGAACAAAGCCGGACAGCCTGAAAATGCGTCAAATGTGGCCGTCTGTAGCTGCTCATAGTGCTCTTGACTTGTGATACGTTGTAGCATTTCTTGTCGCTTGGCATTAAAACGCTCCCAGAGCACAGGGTTTTGCACGCGTTCTACCCGCTCAACTTGAAGGTTTTCTGGCCCTTGCCCGTCAGCACCCAGTAGCTTCATAAATTCAGTCACCTAATAAAAGGGGGTTGGTCAGACGTTTTTGACTTGAGAGTAGAAGATAAACAATACAGACGTTTTCATAATCTTATGACCAAAGACACACCTCGGGAATCAGCTCGGGTGCATCATGCAAAATGTCAATGTTCGAAGCAGCAAGCGACGCAACGGCAGGCTGGCAAGCCACAAGCGAGCCACTCAAGAGGCTCGGACGTTTTTTTGAATCTGCCGCGAGGAAAGCCCTTGTTTCCTTGTGCAAATTGCTCGTCTCGTCACACATCTGCAGGCAAATCGATGTCACTGGATCAGGCATATGACAACTCTGGAAAAACTCTGTGGAGAATAACACAAACCTCAGCAGCCAAGTGCGTAAAGCTGTAGGCACGATCTCCCGCTTGGAACTTCCATCTGCAATGATCCACGACCTCATCGGTTTGCGACTGAGCAGGTGGCACCGTCTGCGGGTACATGTAGGTGTTGTACAGCACACAGCCGAAGGAAAAGGCATCCTGTGCCGAACGCGCCCCTACACGACCTCGGCCGAAAAGCACCTCGGGTGCCATATAGCCTGCGGTGCCCGACGCTGCGGTAGTCGTGCAAGGTAGCATCGTAGTCTCGGCTGCCGCCTTGACAATGTCGAAATCGCCAAGCCGCACAACAGGCTGGTCCTCCGAGCCGTCCAGCATGACATTGCTCAGCTTGACATCTCGGTGCACCAGACCCTTGCTATGCATAAAGGCCAGAGCTGTGCGCAGTTGCTTCATCAAACTTGCGATCACGTTCGAAGTGGCCAGGTGGCGTGCATCGCTGAGCCACTGCTGCAGATCACCCTGTGCACACCATGGCTGCACCAAGTAGGCACTTGGGTGACCACTGTGTACGCCCACTAGCGCGCCAAGGACGGGGATGATGTGCGTGTGTTTAAGCTGGCGCATGGCGCGAAGCTCACGCAGAAACGTGCGACAGTGCTCTTGCTTGTGTTGACGAGCAAATGCATACTCCTTGACAGCCAAATCTTGTTCTGGAAGATTCGGCAGCGCTGCGCGGGCTTTGTATACCTTGTGATTTTGTTTGTACTGGAGATCAAGCTCGCCCAGGCTCGAGAGCGTCAAACCCTGGTCTACTTCGGTCATGGCCTCCAAAATGAGCCTGGATGGAAGGTCGTCGCCAAGCACCTTGTAGAGATGCGCTCCCAGCGTGCTCTGCGCAGGGTCCAAAAACACCAGCAAAGCTGGGAAGTGTTGATGCAGCAGCTGGGCGAGCTCTGCGACGTGGTCTACGTGTGGCTGCTTTGATAGTTCCTGCCGCAAGACGCCAAGGCGTTCCTTCTTTTCTTGCAGCTTGTGTTCGAGGCTTGGATGCATATCTTCGGGCAAGAGCTGAAGAGCCGCTCTGCTGTTTTGAATCTCGGTCTGAAGTTTGGTAAGTTCCTCGTGGGCAGCAACCGATTTATCATCAACGCCTTGAGTCAAGCTGTCCACATGACTCATGCACGAGGCCAGCACGAAGAGCGTCGTGGCCTGCCAATCATTCATGTCTCGCAACTTTTGCACCAAAGCCTGCGTTTCATGACGAACAAAAGTCAGATACCAATCCTGATTTTTGAGGCCTGGCAGTGGCTGCCAATCGGCTAGCTCTTTAAGCCCGTTCAGCTCATGCTGGCTCAACTCCCGGTGTATCTGGCAAAGCTCATTCCAGCTTTTGTCCAAGCTCTGAAGCGAACTTGGTTCTGCATCTGATTGTCGGGCTTTCTGGATCAGTGTTCGTAAGCTGTCGCACCCAACTTCCTTCAAAGCATCCAAAGCATCCACAAAAGCCAGCACAAGCCGTTTGATATTTCTGTCCGAGCGATTGAGAAGGGCTTTGTGCTCGCCTGCCGCAGAGTACAAGTCCTTTAGCTTGCCTATTGCCTCCACGTGGTCAACGAGCGGTGTCTCAGGCGTAGGTGCGAGTGTATATGGTCCCACTGGCAAAGCGGCGAACACGGTCAACTGCTGCTGAAGCGCCTCTAGATGAGGTTCGAGATCGAATCGGTTTACAATCCTATGAAGCTCCTGCAGCACAGCACCCAAGTCGTCAGATTCCGGCTGCAGCATGGCCATTCGACTGGCCAATGTCGTAGGTACGTTGGTGGCCTGATCAAGCGCCGAGCTTGCTGCAGTGGCGTTTTCCTGGAATACAACCCAATCGACTTGAGGCGGATCAGGCAAATTCTCATTCATGACCTTTGTGATGGCTGTAACTTCATCGTGAAGTCCGGATCGGCGTGGCAGGGGGTTAAAAACAAAGGCATGAAGATATGGCAACTCATCGGTTGCAGCGGGCTCAGGGAGAAAAGACAGGAACCAGCCACTGATTTCCAGGGCAACGGAAACAGCGGTCTATCAGCGGTAAGGGGATGAGAGGCGAAGAAGTATTTGCAGGAAGAAAACAACAACAATTTATGAGTGTTTGAAATTCGAAATAAAAGACTCGCTTAGGCACCAACCTTGGTGGTGGGTACAATGCTGGTGAGCGGTGGAAGCCAGGCATGCCAACAAGCCGGACGTTGAATGGCACGCGCGCGCAGTGTGGGAGGCACGGAATACTGTGCCATGACTTCACGGGCTTCGTCAGTTTTTTCTTTGCACGCTGTATCATACGGTGTGCTGCCACTCTGCCCCCCACCCCCGCCAAAAAGCGAACGGCCAAACAACAGGTACAAGCCGATCAAATGAGAGCAAGACAAACCACGGCATGCCGAAAAGTGTTCATTATCACCTGTACTTACGTTGTCCATAACTCGAGTATCAGCACCACTTCGCAGCAACAGCACTATTAGGTCCTGGCTACCTTGCCTGCCAGCCACATGCAAAGGCGTAGCGCCATTCTAACAGCAGAGCATTGGCATGTTGGTCATCATCACGATTAAAAACCGACATGGATGTTAAAAAATCCTCAACCGCCATCGAGGATTGAGAAAGCACATTAAAATGACTTTGCCAAAAGGTACCAACTTTGTTTTTAGCTCCAACATCGGCGCCGTAGTGGATCAAGACGCTGACCACTTCTGAGTGGTTGGAAGCACAGGCGACATGCAGAGGCACGTCTCCATTCTATGCTCATTGGTGAATCAAGACACAACATTGTTATCCAATCAGTCTGGAACAACAAGCCAGCCCAACATATGCTCGTTGTTGATATTCATCAGCAAATTTCAAACGAGCATCAAGCAGATGAGCAGCGACAATCGCAAGACGGTTGCGTGCGAAACAAACAAAAAAAACAAAGCAGTTGCACGAAATTTTAGACAAAAAACTAAGAACAGGGCGGTCTTGAAGAAAGCATGATGGGAGTGGATGGGTCAACTGGATGCTTGATGAGTCAAAGATGAATAACTATACTAACCATATCTGTTACTCCAGGCTGAGCACCCAAATGCAGCAGCCACCTCACAATCTCAGTGTGACCATTGATGCACGCACAGTGCAGCGGTGTCTGATTCTCCTACAGACCGTAGATATTGGTTAGACAAAGTACAACTGGTGACTGCTGGCGAACGAACAGAAGGATATGATGCAACTCCAAAACTCTTGAGGTCAGCAATACAGACCTGGCCTTTGGGATCGGGATCAACCTGTTGCGCCAACAATAGCTTCACAATCTCAGTGTTACCATTGATGCACGCATAGTGCAGCGGTGTCTGATTCTCCTACAGACCGTAGATATTGGTTAGACAAAGTACAACTGGTGACTGCTGGCGAACGAACAGAAGGATATGATGCAACTCCAAAACTCTTGAGGTCAGCAATACAGACCTGGCCTTTGGGATCGGGATCAACCTGTTGCGCCAACAATAGCTTCACAATCTCAGTGTTACCATTGATGCACGCATAGTGCAGCGGTGTCTGATTCTCCTAAGAACCGTAGGTGCAATTGGTTAGACAAAGAACAACTGGTGGACTGCTGGCGAACGAACAGAAGGATATGATGCAACTCCAAAACTCTTGAGGTCAGCAATACAGACCTGGCCTTTGGGATCGGGATCAACCTGTTGCGCCAACAATAGCTTCACAATCTCAGTGTTACCATTGATGCACGCATAGTGCAGCGGTGTCAGGTTCTCCTAAGAACCGTCAGTGGTGCAATAGCGTTTGCACATGGATGATGGGAAAGCAGAAACAGGTGGACTCTGGCGAACGAGCAGAGCAACTCCAAAACTCTTGAGGTCAGCAATACGGACCTGGCTTTTGAAATCGGGATCAACCTGTTGCGCCAACAATAGCTTCACAATCTCAGTGTGACCATGGATGCACGCACAGTGCAGCGGTGTCAAGTTCGACTTCAGGCCACGTCCGCAATACAAACCCGGCGTTGACATAGCGTTTCATGGCACGTTCAGAATCATTAGGTTAAGTGCATTAACAACGACACACAAGTCACTGCCCAAAACAGATCTGTAAGTAACAACATCTACAGGATCAATGCCTAGGCTCTTTGACGTACCTTCTCCTTTACTTGGGCGTTGACGTTTAGGTCTAGCAACCTTTTCACAACTTCCACATGGCCATTGGCACACGCAAAGTGCAGCGGTGTTATGCACAACTGCAATACAAATTGCACAGCAAGCGTGGCGACGTTTATTGCATTGCGACCACGGTCAAGATTACATAGTACATACAAGCAAAGCCATGTGTTGTCACTCGAGTAAAAAGGAACATAAAACCGTTGTTCTTCGTTGTGTGCAATTCAAACCTTGTTCTTAACTTCTGCATCAACTTTGTGTTCCAGCAGCAGATTTACGACCTCGAGGTGGCCTTTCCTGCAGGCCCCGTGCAGTGCTGTGTTGCCAATCTATGTCGCATTGAATGCAGCACAGCAACATGCATAGTACGCACTCCAGGAGGATAAACCCAATTGCAAACGATTCGAGCCCAACGGTTACCTGGTTCTCAACAGCTGGATCGACGCCGTGGTGTAAAAGAAGCTCTGTGACCTTCGTATGTCCTTCGTTGCATGCAAAGTGCAGAGGGGTATAACCGTCCTGCAGACATTGCTCATTGAGGCAAAACTGGGAAACGAAAATCAATCTCACATCGTGCTATGAGCTCACTCACCTGATCCTGGGCTTGAGCATTGACTTGGTGGTCCAACAAGATTTTCACTGTCTCCTCCTGACCACTCTGACAAGCAAAGTGCAGCGGTTGCTGCTTCGCCTGAGATGATCAGGATCGTCACCAACATCATAAATACAGCCACAAGCGTGAAATGGTTAGGAGGAGCAGAGCAACCACACGCAGAGATGCCATACTCCAATATGACAAACTGAAAAGCTTTAAACAACGCTGATGCGCGAATCATCTCGTCGTTACTCCAACCTTGTTGCTAACGTCGGGGCCCAAATGATATGAGAGCATTCTCACAGTGTCAGCATGACCTCGAGAGCAGCACATGTGAAGAGCAGTCGTCCCATCCTGGAGGCAGCCAGTTGCATAAGAACAACACAGGAACTCTCAACATGAGAAAGGCATTGGTCCTTGCTCTGTCAACGCCTCCAAACTACATGATAACGCTGGCAGGTTCATCCAATGCATGGCCAAGATTGTTCAGCTTTTCTACGCACCTGGGCTTTGTATTGAACAGCGTCCCACAATTGATCCACATCCCAACTCTCGCACAACCGAAGCGCTTCTCGCGGATCCGGTGAGGCACATGCCTGGTACAGTTGCTGGCCGAGTTCCATGATGATCGATCGGCACGAACGGCAACTCCACCGCATTCAGCTTCCGACCATCAAGGATCGGCAGCTAAAAATGTTCGCACCATGTCAATGCAATAAGGTGACCGATCGTGCCCAAAGCAGGCTAACTCGCGCTATTTCAATCCTCAGCACCCCACAGCGCAGATGACCCCCGATCCGCCCGGCCCGCTTGGACAACACCCCCCTCTCTCCGACATGCACCCCAGTCGTCACTGGTATCGGATCCCATACACACACACACACACACACACACACACACACACACACACACACACACACACACACACACACACACACACACACACACACACACACACACACACACACACACACACACACACAAGAACGCATACATACCACGCCGTCCTGGTACTGGTCCTGGTCCTGGTACTGCTCACTGGCACTGCTCACTGATCCCTTGATCCTGATTTGTCCTCTCACCAGCGCGCGCACACACACGCAAAAGGAAAAAAATTGCCACGTCACATCATCTTGTGCATAGAGTTGATACAAGCAGAAACAACGGCTCGCATAATATTAGTAGTATCCAGAACTACTGTTTTCAACAAATCACTTTGACTCTAATTTTTTTGAGCTCTCACACGTTCTCAGGATGGCGCCGCGGAAGGGGGCCAAGCGGACGGCGGCCACGGCGGCCACGACAAAGGCCAAGACGGCCAAGTCAACCAAGGCCACTGGTAGGTGCTTAATCCTTGTGTATTGTCTTGTCGTTGTTTAGCTTTTGTATGGAAGGGCAGGGAAGCCGTCCCTGCATGTATGGATAGGTGACGACACCTCACGACTCACGTGTGCTCGCTCAGCGACCAAGGGGGCCAAGGGGGCCAGGACCACTGTCGACCCGGAAGCCCTCAACAAGGCCAAGCAGGATGTCCAAGGTATGCTTGGCCTGTGCCGGTTGGCATCGAGACTGCTGGTCCAAACACGTCATGGCCGTCACGATGCCTCGCTCACTCGTTGTTTTCATGTGGGGTTGCAATACATGTTCGATGCAGTCTACATTGAGGGCTGCAAAAGCTGAGGCGTGTTCAAGCGCTCGGCCGCTAAACTGGAGACCCTGGTCAAGGACCAACACCCAGACGCTCAAATCGTCTTCAACTCTGAAAAGGTACTCGTTCCCATCCTTTAATTGGGTTCCTTTCTTGGTGCAGCAACCCCTCTTTTTTTTTTTTTTTTTTTTGGCTGATGCTCATCGTCTTGCATGCATTCTCAAAATCCTAGCCGCGTCGCGGCTGTTTCGAGGTCACGGTCAACGGCAATGTCGTTGTCAGCCTGCTTGAAATGCCGCGCCCTTTCAAAAAGCTTCGCGAATACGACCTCGACAAGGCCGCCGAAGAAATTGCAGCCAAGCTCAAGGTCGGTCCTTTTCCTCCTTGCCACGCCGTTGCATGCTTCCTGCGCTTTCCCGCTCATATGCTGGTCTCTGAATGCCCCTTGACAGGCTACGTCCACATGATGTGGCCCCTCTTGGCTGAGATAGGGCGGCATATTTTCATCGACTTCTCTGCCCCCGTGCCCTGTCGTTGCTTTTCCAAGCAACCAACGGTGCTATCCTGAGGTGCCGTCGTGATTGTGGGCTGCGATCTACTGGCTCTCCCTTGTGATGTCCAATCTACAAAACCCTTTTCGGGCGTGGATTGGCTGATGTAACCCGCTGCCGGCCTCCAATATTCCCGTGCTGCACCCCATTTTGGGGCCATGCTAGGCCCGCTGCTCCTTTCCTCTCCAGTTGGGAGCGCGGTCACCTTTGCGCAGCACGGTAGGGGCTAGTGGTCTGTGGTCGGACAAGCCGGTACTCGTACCCCTCTCATGATCCATCTCAAAGATCTCACTTTTTTTCTTGATAAAATAGCAGAGATCAAAAATTGACATACAAACGTCCAGGCATGATTGCATCGAGGTGCCGTTATTCTGTGTACATGACGTGCTTGACCCATCCCTCCAGGCTGGAAGACGACAAGTCTTGGTGATACAGAGCATCAATTATAGACGACAAATTTATCTGGCTGTGACCCAAGGGTCACGGCAAAGTAGTGAACAAACATGCAGATGCGCGTTTTAAGCCTGGGCAATGTGCAAATCCTGCATCATGTCTCCCGTGCTGAGCTTGAGGTGCTTCTCGTTGGCCAAATGCAGCAAGCACACAAACATGATGGGCACCGACAGGTTGGAAGCGGTCTTGGAGGGTAACGTCTGGGGAACGTCTGTCATGATTGAGCAACCAGTCATCAGGCAAATGCAAAGTGAGCTCGGACCTACGGGACGCAACTACAAAAAGGCACACACCACAAGGCACACAACGCACCAGAAACAAGCTCCGAAAGTGCATGGTGACGGCTGAGGTCGGTGAGCGGGGCGCCAGTGGCCACGGGCGTTTCCAATGGCGTTGGCGTCTCCGTTCCATCCGTCAGTTGGGTCCAGATGGAACGTTTCAACGCCTTGACGTTGACGCGCTTGGCTTGCTTGGCGTAATCGATGGCAATCTTGCCCACCTTGTTGGGCTGGTCAATCAGTGTGAGGCCATTGGTGCCCATCATGCGCGTCTGGTTCAACGGCATCATGGTGTCATCCAACAACGTGTTCTCGCCAAACGCAAACGGCTCAGCATCCCCTGCCGGTGCAAAGTCGCCAAGATCCACGTCGTCATCGTCATCGTCGTCGGCCACGCCACCCAAGCCGGCATTGACAAGGTCGCCTCCGTCAACTGACACAGGCGGCGGGCGCAGCAAGTTAGTAAAAGGCACGAAATTGACAGGTGGAGGTGGAAGCATGGAGGTCAGCGGCCAGCCCTTTGGGCCCAGCGTCGTATTGACTCTGCCGAACAAATCTTACCTCCAGCGCCGCAGAAGTTGTTCATGTCATTGGGGTTGTTGTAGTCGTACCAATTGTCCCCACCGGCTGCGTCGGCCAAACAAGCGGCACTGGCAGCCGCCACGGGTTTGACCTGTGTTTCAATCACGCCCAAGCCTGAGTCACTGTGCACGCGGGCGTTGACGGTCAATCCGGCCAAGGTTCAGAGCAATCGTCACTCACCAGGGTGTTGGGCTTGCCAAACAAGCGCTGGAAAAAGTCGAGTTTAAAGTGCTTGTCCTCGGGTAGCAACAGCTCGTCCTCGGTCTTTTTCTTCAGCGTCGTTGCCGACAACATGGTCGACGCCTTGCCCTTTGCAAAGGCAGTCTTCCAATTGGGCTCCTCCTCGGTAAAGTCAATGTAGAAGCGCTCCTTCTTTTTGGTAGCTTTGGGCTTGGCGCCCTTGATGGCGCCAGCTGCAAGTCAAACATGAACCAGCGCAGACCGCGAGAGCACAGTGCAGTGAGCCAACAAAAGATTGATAAAAACGGAGGATGATGCGGTCACACGTTGGGGCGGCAGCTAACCAGCGACACGTGGGCGCCAATGTGAAGGGCCTGCCCAGTTCTTGAGCTGCTCCTCGGAAAAGTAAGAGTAGTCGTTGTTAATGTCGAGTGACAGCTTGAGGGCACGGGCCATGCCTCCATGGGGCTGGGGGGAGTCGGCACTGACAGCCAAACCATCCTCGTCGTAGGCGCCGAGTTGTTGTTCATACTGATCAAACTCAACGTCATCGTCCGAGTCCAGGTTGCCAAAGCCGCCCTCAACATCCATGTTCAGACTGAGGTCTGCCACGGCAGGGCCTGCACGCGCCTGGGCTTGTACCAAAGCTGTCGAAACAAACAGCACCCAAAGACGGGAGACAGTGCAGAGGATGAGTTACATACCCGGATGCCAGAGGATTGTGCGGCGTCATCGGGAGAGCGCCTGTCATGCGGTCAAGCGTACCGGAGGTTGACACATTGCTGGTGTCTAGGTCATCGGACGGCTCCCATCCAACAAAGTTGAAGCCACCCAAGCTCGGGCAAATGGCCTTGCCTTCCAGATTGGCCAGCATTTCCTCCGAGGCCACTGTATGATGACAAGCAGAGAGGCAAGCACGGCGGTAAGAGGTGCTCAAGGTTTGGAGGCAGCGCTGGCAAATAAGCAACGTATTTGTCTGTTTGATTTCCCTACGTACACAGGAGCTCGTCCACGGCGGCTTCAGTCGCTGCCACTACGGGGTCGGTGGCCTCTGGCTGAGCCGTATCATGAGAGTCAAACAGGAGGGCGCCATCGTCGCGCGTGTTGAGGTGATTGAGCAAAAGGCCACGGGCACCGCCTTCATCAAAAGCGGCCGACATGTGCTTGAAAAGCGGGTCTACATCAAAGGCCAGGTCAAACTTCTTGACGTTGAGGACCTGGGGGTTTTTCTCGAGCGTGTTGGTGGCCCGCTATGCCATGCGACAGGACGAGTGGGAGGAGGGAGAAAGATGAGTTGGGATCCAGACAAGCAGGCATTGGATGAGCCTGCTTCATCGGCGGGGACGAGGAAAACCAAACCAACAAAACAGCAACTTTGTGGTATGGACGACTTTTCCGCCTACCTTCTTGCGGCGCTTTTTGGCGTTTTCGCCCTCCTCGCCACCTTGGCCATCCTCGAGGTCGGCATCCTCCTCGTCATCGTCACCTGTGATTGTTTGATTGTTGGTGCCCACCACGGCGTGAGCCAACGCCAAAATCCGACAAGTCAAGCGGGTACCTGCATGTGCGAGTGGGCACGCACCGCGAGTCTCGCCGCGAGCAATACCACCGAGAACCTTGTAGGCCTCACTGTGGATGGAGTCGATACGGTAAGAGTAAATCTTGACACTAGCGTCCAGGGTGCAGCTAGCAATCTGTCCGTGGCCATCAGCGTGAATGAGCTCGTACAGGGTCGAATCAGCGCTGAACCGTGCAACAGAGATGCGTGGTCAGCAAGGCGTGTGGCTGTCGGGACATGTTTGGTACCTGAAAGTTGGTCATCTCGCCGTGGCGCGTCTGCATCACATCATTCATGTAGTCAATCAGAGGCAACTGCCAAGTGTTTTTCTGGTTGACTTTGTTTTCAGTGCACAGCTTGATGCAGTTGGCGTAGATGTCTGTGATGTCCGAGGGCACGTTCTCATCACTGCGGTTTCCAGGTGCTTTGCTAGGAGGTGGCCCAGAGAAGCGTGAGACTGGGGTGACGGGTGTGGTCGGGGCGACTGAGGGGAAAGGAGTTGAACGAAGCTGGGGCATGGGTGGGTCACCTGGACGACTTTGAGGAGACGACGCGCGGGGAGCGATATGGGCTGGCCAAGAACTGCTTCTCGGCCAGATCCCGAGCCACGGAGCGACGACGCGCCTCCTTTTCGAGCTTGTCGTTGTTGGGCCGAAAACCCTTGCCCGGGCTAAAGGGTGACACTGGCGTGCCCAGCCGCCGCTGTGCGCTACTCTTTCGCAGCGACATGACTTGTTGGTGTAGCTCTCCAAGACCCTTGAGGCCGACCCCAGATCAATCACAAGACAAAGAGAACGGAGGAAAAAAAAAAAAAAATGCCGCCGTGTGTGTGTGAAGAGATCTCAGCTCTGGAAAATAGCTGATTTTGAATTTTGGCGGGCAATCTATTTATAGAGCCATGATTGTAGTAATTGTCAGATGATATTTAAATTGAGGAGAAGATGCAGTTGTAGTTACAGAAAATGAAGATATGTTAACTTAGTAAGAGATAAAAGAATGCCGTGGTGATGGGGAACGTGCAGACGCATTTGGACGCATATTAGGCCAGGGATGTGGTCGGGTCCTGTAGCTGGCGGGACGGGCGGGCTGGCGATGGAAGGTCGGCCGGAGACGGGCGGTTCTCTGTGCAAAACAAAAGATGAGAATGGGCAGTGGTCATGGGAAGGGGCTATGACTATGGGGTCGCGCGAGCTGTTGCTTACCGAGGATGGGACGAGCCACGATGGCTTGGGTGAGAATGGCGAGAAGGGCCACGCCCGCAAAGGCATAGGTAATGTCGGTAATCTCGAATCTGCAAAAGGGGTTCCGATGCGAGTGGAGCCGTCAAAAATTGAGGAAAGGGCCGAGCAGTCCGAGCGCTGGACTGAACTGGACTGGACACGCAGTCGGAGCCTACTTGGTGTCAGCCAACAATAAGGGCTTTCTTGGGTCGGTGCGCTTGACGCGGTTGACCACAAAATTCCAGGACAAGGTGCACAAGAGGGCAATGATGGCGATCAGGGCGCAGAGCAAAAAGCGGACCCAGTTGATGACTCGCGCGCAGCGATCGTCATTGAACAGGGTCACGGCGTGCAGCAAAGCCAGGGCAAGCAACACGTGCAGGGCCGCAATCCAATTCAAGCCCGAGCTAAAAGTAGGCGGGCGCCGGCATCAAATAAGCAGGCGCCGTTACTGCCGTTGAGCGCAATGCCTAAATCCATCAACCTGTCAGTGCACGTACTCGCGGAGGACGTCTTCGAGGGGCACGTCAAACTCGATTTGTTCAAGAAACAACAAGCCACCTGCCACGCCTGCTCGAGACAAAGCGTGAGAGCATCCACGCCGGATCCGTCACACCCTGGGTCCAACGGCCATGGGATTCCCGTGTACCTAGCAAAACACCCAACGCTGACGAAGTCCACTGTTCCGTTCGGCCAACCAGAGACTGCCAGCAAGGCAGATTAAAATGCGGGGCGCATTGCGAGGCAAGGCGTGAGTGCTCGGTCGATGTGGAGTACCGAGCTGCTCCGGCATGGGCGAAAGCCAACCTCGCGGAAGAGCCGTTGACCGGGATGAAGTTGATGTGAGGTTGGATGGTGGGCAGTTGGCTGTGTGGGGGCAGTCATGGCCTCAGCAGAAACTGTCTGAAAGCCCGAACGACCTGCGTGGTGGCTTTGGCGTGAGGCAAAGAAAGGCGTGCGGTATGGGGGGGGGGGGCACAACACAAAGTAGTTTTGCAGCGAGGGCACAGAAGCCTGACCTTCGACGACGTGCTGAATGCGATGCTGAGCTGCTTGCCATGGACCCTCTTGGGCGCGCAGGGTGCTGGGACGATCCGACCAGGCGAGGCTGGTTGCGCCCCGGCCATCGACAGGTGTCTCCAGCATGTCTTCCTCTTGCAGGGTTCGAGCTTCCGGCCATTCTCGAGAGTCGGAAACGGGTGCCACCTATAACAAGCGTCAGGTGCAGCCCGACCAAATGAAAGGTCGGTAATCTTTGGGTACATCATTCTGGCTCTTTAAAGAATGAGATGCGTGGCGTACCCGGTTGGTGTGACGGCGCTTGGTTCTGCAGATCAGAGGCAAGGCAATCACGCGGCGTGAGGCCCAAGATGGCGCTGGCTCTGGGATTAATGATGCAAATTCGCCACATGCACACGCACACGCACGGAAACAAAGCATCCTTACTTGTGCCGCCGCCCAGGCTTGCTGTCTTGTTCCGATGTGAGCGCTGGTTCATCGGCCGTGGTGGGCGCTGCATCAGAGCCGCTGGGCCGAAGGGTGTCGAGTTGGAGCGGCGGCAATTGTCCTAGCTGGGTGGTGTGATTGGCCATGCGGACCGAGAGAGCCCGCTGGGCGGCCGCCGAGCGGCGGCGTGAGCTTCGCATGCTCACGAGTCGCGAGGCGCTTGGACCCTCCTCGTCTTGGCCATGCTGATGGGGGCGCTCCCTTCGCGTGTGCACACGCTCAAGCACGGGACCATGGCTCGCATTTGCTTCGCCCTCGCTGTCCACACGCCTTTGGCTTGTCGCCGATGGCCGAGTTGGCGGGCTCTGCCCGGGCCCCTCCATCCTCGAATCAAGTTGCGCAGAGTCGCAGGGAGAAAAGGCTTTTCATTTGCGGTCAGGTAGGCGTGGTAATTGCAAAGGAAAAAGCTCTCGAGGGCAAACGTCGTCGTAATCACAGGAAGAGCAAGATGCAAGAAGAGAAAGGAGGAGAGAAGAAGGGTCTCCGCAGGCAGCCAGAGCAGCCGCAGGCAGGAGGATCAGCAGGAGTAGCAGGAGGATCGGCAGGATGAGCACCGACGAGGGGCGGGAGATGAAAATTTTAATTAATTTCGCCGACACAACAAAAAATCAGCAGCGCCATGTTGCCATCTGCAGAAAGCTCATAATTAGCCGTACAAACTATAACAACGATCTTATTTGAGTCTACATTAAGTGTCAAATTATCTTATAAAACCATTGCTACAGCCGAGCCCTCTCGGATGTAGTCAACTTTACAGGAGGTGATTTAACTTTAGACCTTGCATGCGTGCAGTATGCATCGCGTTTGATGCGTGCATGTACGCAGAATCGAAGCCGGCATGCACCGCCTTGTCCGTTGAAACAACAGCACCCGAGGTCGTGGGCGTCAAGCATCTGCACGCAGTGGCTAGCGATGGTCTGCTTCCACGGGCATGGCCCCATCACAACCGTTGTGATAGGCCATTTGGTGCAATAAAGCTCAGTTTGATGATGCATGCATGGTCCTTCTCGCCTACGGTTGGGGCCTCGTTCCACTATTGTTGTTCCGAAAACGTCGGCAGCAGCATGAACCATCAGGCTGCTATTGGGAGGGTGGCACGTTTGGTTTGGTGAAAAAAAGACGTCCACCCGCATGTGGTGGCAAAGAACCGCAACACAAGTCTGTGAACATCATTTTCCCTTTCCCCCCGTGTGAACCAGTCGAGAGCTCGACTCGCGCCTCTCGAATTGGTGTCAGTCAGGCCGTCGCGGTGAGCCCAATGCTCCTCGTGCTTGTGCCTCGTCAAGTCGCCAAGCCGCCCCCCCCTCCCGAGTGCCCGTTGATCCTCATCGTTGATTGTGCCGTTTACCCACCCTCCTCCTCAAACAACAAGACTTTGTGTGTTCCTCGAGTCGCGAAGAATTTCAAGCACGCTTGGGATTCGTGTCTTTTTATCCAGATACCATCACCATGGCCAACCTGGCACACAGCGCTTGGACGCTGGGCTTGTTTATCTTGGGTCTGGTGCTTGCTTGTTCGGTACGGCCACACCCTGCGCTGCGCCGGCCCTTCACCCTGCTTCTTGATCATCATCGCCCCCAGCCTCACTTCAATCGTTCCTCCGGTTGATGCCACTTCCCATGCTGGATGATAGGCGGTGGAAGGGCCACAGGCCATCACCATCAACGATGCCAATTTCGATAGCGTGAATCTCGGCGAGGGCGAGGGTCAATCCAGCGCTGTCGCTCAGCTGGACTGGACCACCTCTGGCACCGCTCTGGAAGTGCTCAATCCCGAGTCGCCGAGCTTTTTTGGCCCCAACTCAGCGCACTCGGGCAACAATTATGCCTACTTTGCCGCCTCTGAATCAAACGTTGCTTCCCAGGTCCTGGCAACCACTTTTGCCGCCAACATGGAGTACAACCTCACCATTCAGCTCGGCATGTCCTCGGTCTTCACGTCGGGTGATCTTGGGACCTTTTCGCTCCAACTGCGTGCTGGCTCCAGCTCTGGTGCTGTAGTGGCCACAACCACCGTCGATAACAGCCAGATTCCCAGCAACAGCTTTGCCTCCTTTATGCTCACCCACAATACCGACGACGTGTCGACGGAGATTGGTGACGACATCGTTGTGGCCTTGGTCATTGACAGCAGCGGCTTTTCGCCCGCCTTTGACTCGCTAACACTCATGGCGGCTTCCAACCTTGGACCCACAACCACCTCCACCACCTCGACCACCACCACTTCAACAACAACCACTTCAACGACCACCACCTCGACGACTACCTCCTCGACCACGTCTACTTCTACCACCACAACATCAACGACCACCACTTCGACGACCACCTCTTCGACCACGACCACGACATCGACCACAACGACCTCGACCACAACCACTTCCACCACGACGACCACAACGACCACGACGTCGACCACGACGACCACCACCACGACGACCACCACCACGACGACGACCACCACGACGACAACCACCACGACGACAACCACGACGACGACAACCACCACTTCCACATCCACCACTTCCACAACCACTACTTCCACATCCACGACCACCACATCGACCACCACCACAACCACTACGGCCGAGTTTTGTGTGGGAGTCGAGGACGCCAGCTTCGAGGCTACGACCTTGGAGGGCCCAACGGCCCCGTTCTCAGGCGTTGGCACGAATTGGGACTTTGATATGCGCGGATCGCCCGCGGTCATTGGAAGCAGCTACTCCAGTGCCGTCAATGCTGCCAACCAGGATGGTACCAAGTCTTTGGGCTATCTCGATGCCACCAACTCGTCTCGTGGCGTTTGGTATGACGTTCCAGGCCAAACCTACGATGAAGGTTTCATTTATGTGCTCCGCGCCCACGTCGGCGTCTACAACGCGAGCAATCTCGAGTCCTATTTGGAGCTACAGTTTCGCAACCAAAACAACAACCCCATCATATCTCGCCTTCCACTGGGGCTGAGTGATACGAGCTTTGAGCCCGTGGAGCTGACGCTCCCGATGCCGACCGGCGACAAGCACCTGGGCCAACCTGTTCGCATCGCCTTTTCCTATCTCCTGCCGGGTTTGACCCCGCAAATTGACCGTGTGCAGGTTTGCCGTATCCATGCGCCCGAGCTCATCGTGACCACCACCACCACCACCACCACCACAAGCACCACCACCACAAGCACCACCACCACAAGCACCACTACTACATCAACGACCACAACCACAACATCGACCACGACCACGTCGACGACATCGACGACCACAACATCCACCACCACCACCACCACCACCACGACATCGATTCGCTTCGGCTCCTTGAACAACGGTGGGTTTGAGAGTCCGGTGGCAGAGTCCAGTGGCATCACTTGTGAGACGCCGGACGCGTGGCAAACCGACGCCAATGGCGGCTTGTCCTCGTTTCCAATTGTGCGTCAGGTGGGCGCTGGCCAATACCCCACTCCGGTCGATGGGAGCCAAATGATCTTTATCGACAATGTGGCCACTTCTGAGAATGGCTTGTGGCAAGACTTGCCTGAGCTGTATACCCCTGGTCAAACGTACCGCTTCAGCATCTACTTGGGGCGCAGCGGCCTCGATTACACCGTCGTCTCGCTCGAGTTTCGAGACGCCTCCAATACGGTACTGGAGTCGACGACGGAACTAACGCTGGCGTTGACGATGGGCACCTTTACTCAGCGGTCAGTGGAATACACCCCAGAGTATGGCGCGAGTGAAGTGGGCTCGCCCATCCGCATTGGTCTGCGCTTCTCGGGTCTCAAGGGCACGGGCGCCCTGCTTGATGGGGCCGAGGTGCAGTTTGTTGGGCGCCAGGAGCTGACCACCTCAACTACCTCGACCACAACGACAACCACTTCCACCACTTCCACCACAACCACCTCAACCACGACGACCACTACAACCACCTCCACGACGTCCACGACAACCACTACAACCACCTCCACGACGACGACCACCACCACTTCGACGACCACCACTTCGACGACCACCACGACATCAACCACGACGACATCAACCACGACGACATCAACCACGACGACGACCACAACTTCGACGACGACCACCACTTCCACCACGACAACGTCCACGACCTCTACCTCCACCACTTCTACGTTTGTTCCGACCATGTTCTTGGAAATTGGTGATCTGGAGTATCGCGTGATTGATGATGAGGAGTTGTCATGGTATGAGGCCAACGCGCGGTGCGAGGCTAGCTTCAACGGGAGTCTGGCCATCTTCCACACGCAAGCCCAGTACGACGGGCTCAACGCTTTGGCCGATCTTGTGTCCAACCGCAAAGGTTTGTGGATTGGGTATGCATACAGCTTTCTGGCCATGGGGCCGGTTGATGTGGAGGGAGCAAGTTTGGCCAGTGGCGTGTCCTTTGATTATGAGGGTTCGGCCGTGGGTGGCACAGATTGCCTGCAGCTGCGGCGTGACGAAGACGCCGTGCAATACCGGCGGTGCGACAAGACGCGAGCCTACATTTGCTCACGCCCATCTGACCCTCATGTCTTTGTGTCCACCTCGTCGCCGTCAACATCGTCATCGTCATCGTCATCGTCATCGTCATCGTCATCGTCATCGTCATCGTCATCGTCGTCTTCATCGTCGTCTTCAACGACTTCATCCTCTTCAACGACTTTATCCTCTTTGGGCTCGACCAGCGCATCTTCGTCTGTGATGGATAGCACCACTGGTGCTTTGTCCTCATCGTCTACCAGCCTGCCAGGAACCTCAACGGGTGGTTTGATCTCCACCACCACCACCACCGTGTCCAGTTCGACTGCGTCCCCGTCTTCGACTACGTCAGCCAGTACGACGACCCTTCCGGTGGGGACATGTGGACCACCAAATGCGTTTGCGGGCAAGCAGTACTTTTTTTCGCCATCGTCAGATCGCCGCCGCTTTAACAACGCGCGTGAGGCCTGCTTGGCTCTGGCACCCGTCGGGCAGTGGACGGTGGCCAGCCTGTTGTCGTCAGCCGAGTTTGAGTTTGTGGCCAACTACTCGTTTCACACTTCGAGCAATGCAGATTTTTTCGTGGGCGGTTACCACACGGGCGCGGGCGTCGTGCACTGGTATGATGATAGCGTCTTCACCAACTGGAATGCACCGGGCATCTTGCCGTGGAACAATGGCGTTGTACCCAGTAGCACCGGCTGCCTGGCGCTCAACGTGCGCGACAAGTTTGACAATCAAATTGCCGAACTGCAGCCCATCAGCTGCAGAAACTGGCGGTATGTGTCTTGTCTCCTCTCTCCCCTGGCGATGTGTTGTCACAATGAATGCAATCTCTCACTAGACGTGTTTTGTTCTCGCTGTTGCCTGGCGGTGCAGGTCTTACATTTGCAAGCGTGATTATACCCCCAGCTGTTAGGGCGTCGGAGGGGGAGTTCTCTTCCTTTCAGCACCTTGCGTGTCTTAAATAACATGTCCAAGACCGTTGGGGTCATGTGTCTCGTAGTATTTGCGCGCGCTCTGCGCCGCGCACCTCTTGGCGAGGGCAATCGACTTTTTCCATCAACACCAGCTGCAAGGTTGCTTGTTTCGAGTAGCTTGGCCACACCTACTCCTTTGGCGCGCAGAGTTTGAGTCTTTTTACAAACGAGAGAGCGTGAGCGAGCGAGGCGAGAAAGTCGAGAGCCTGTACGAGTAGCAAGGTGACGAGCATTGATAAGCACCGCGAACTTGAAGAGTAGAGAGCGTAGAGAGTAAGGCAGAGGGCGGATGGCGTAGAGGGAGAGTGGAGCGTCGAGCGTCGAGCGGCGTCGAGCGTCGTAGAGCGTCGTAGAGGGAGTAGAGGGTGTAGTAGAGCGTCGTAGAGGGTGTGGAGGGTAGAGTGTGGAGGAATTCAAGAGAGAGTCGAGAGAGTCGAGAGAGTCGAGAAAGTAGAGAGAGTAGGGAGAGTTGGGAGAGAGTAGGGAGAGTAGGGAGAGAGTAGAGAGAGTAGAGCGAGTAGAGAGAGTCGAGAGAGTCATAGAGAGAGTAGAGATAGTCAAGAGAGAGTAGAGAGAGCAGAGAGAGTCAAAAGCGTCATAGAGAGAGTAGGGAGAGGGACTCACATCAAAAAGAAAAACAAGAAAAACAAGAAAAAAATTGGAGAGAAGACTTGATTCTTTTTAATTTTACATTCAAAGCTTGGTCATTCCTCTTTTGTAGCTTTGTTTTTGGCTTAGGTCTTTTGCACGCCAGCTTCCTCTCTCTGATTTAAAAAAAAAAAACATTTTTCTCTCTCTTTCTCTCTCTCTCTCTCTCTCTCTCTCTTTCGCGCGCGCGCGCGGGACTCGTGGCGGTGTGCAGGTGCAGGTGCTCGTTGGCTGGCTGATCGGCTGGCTCGTGTTGGCTGCCAAGTGGATTGACGACGTGGAAGGGGTGGATCTGATCCGGACGGTGGCACCGGCAACATGGGCAAGCTTTGGACGGCACTGAACGTGCTGCTGTTCTTCCGCGTCTTCTTTCCCGGTGTGGACACGGGCGCCGTCATCTGCGGCATGCTCGCTCTTTGTACGTGCCCTGGTTTTGGCAGGCTCTGATGCCACTGGATCCAAAGGCTTGGATCACAGCCACCTCTGATTGGTGCCGTGAACGCTGCGGCGGCTGTGGCCAATGTCATTCTTGTTGTTGCTATTGGTGGCTCGCTTACGCTGCTTTTTTGGGCCGACTCCCTCCGCGCTGGTAGACATGGGCGTGATTGTGTGGATGCGACCGCCATCGCCGTCCAACTTTTGGCTCACCGCCATTGCTCTGGCGCTCCTGGTGGGCGATGGCGTTCGCGCTTACCTCTCCGACTCGTTTAGCTGGTTCCGCTTTTACCTGCTCTTTGGCGTCCTTTTGGTTGCCTTCCGTCTGGACTCGCGCTTCCGCTGGGATTCAAAGATGGCCACCCGCCGCAAACTCATGATCAGGTATCACGGCGCTGGTCTTCTAAGCAGGCGCAGCCCAACACCGCCATTAACACCCTCCCCAGCCACATCATGACCTTGATCAGCCCTTGTTTTCTCCTCTGACTCCTTGCATGTCATGCTTGTGGCGACAGTACCTGGGGTACATCCTCCGAAGGCACCATCTACGGCTCGCTGATCATCAAGGCTCAGGCGCTGCTCGACTACGTGGAGCGCAAGCGCAAGGAAACTGGCAAAAAAATCACCGTCACCCACTGCTGCCTCAAGTGCTTTGGTCTGGTTCTGGCTGAACATCCCAATGTCAACGGCCGCCTGGTACGAGCCCTGATCCAGCGCACCCAACCTTATCGCTCTGCATGCTGACGACGCCTCGGCCCGCTCATGCGTGCCCCGACCCCGTCCCTCCACGACGACGTTTCATGCAGGTGTTTGGGCGCTACTACACGGCGGACACCGTGGACATTGGCTGCTTGGTCAGCATCGAGACCAAGCGCGGCCCCGATCTCGGTCTGACCAAGTTGACCCGCGCCAACGAGCGCTCCGTCACGGAGATTGCCGACGAACTGCAGCGGGCAGCAGAGAAGCTGCGCGCCGGCAAGGACCAGGACCATAACAAGCAAAAGCCGGCCTTGAGCTGGCTGCCCACCTTCTTGCTGGAGCCGGTCATTCATCTCACAGGCTGGCTGGGCAGCATTGGCGTCGCCATCCCGGCCTTGGGGGTCAAACCTTACCCCTTTGGCACCATCTATGTCACCTCCATCGGCATGTTGGGCCTCGACTCGGCCAACGTGCCCTTCTCCCCCTTTGCTCGCGTGCCCTTGCTCATGACCATCGGCAAGATTGACGACAAGCCCGCCGTTGTGGATGGCCAACTGGCCATTGAAAAGCAGCTGCCCCTGACCGTTACCGTGGATCATCGCTTTCTCGATGGCAGCGAGGGCTCGCGCATGTTGGCCAAGATTCGCGAAATCCTGGAGCACCCCGAACAGTATTTTGACGAGTAATTGAGGTGATGGCCATGCAATTATGCCCGCCACTGCGTGTGAAGGCACCTGTCGAACACACCGTCCGCCCAGCGGCTGATTGGCCCTCGTTTTATCTTTTCAACCCCTCTCAAAAGGCAAAGACAAGGGAACAAAATGCTTTTGCTTTGGATGCCACCGCTGCTCAGCAACGGCGCCACAGTACCCAAGCGCTCACAACACGATAGCATTCATATAATAATAATAATAATAATATGATCACCATAATAATAATAATTATTATTATGATCATCACGGGAAATAGGCAACGCCGACGGGCTCGGGTGAGGGTAGATTGCCAATACCTCCAAGCCAGCTCGAGTCAGCCTGGCGCTGCATGCGCCGCTCCACAGCAACTTGAGCGCTCCACGTGCTACTGATGGTACCGACAAAGTGGGCAGCGCGCCGGCAAAGCTCTTGTTCCACCAGCATGAGCTCGATGTTATCCTCAAACTGCCGGTGCTCCAAATAGGCTGCAGCCTCCCAGAGAGGAGGAGCGAGGGTCAGGTTGTGCATGCGCGCCTCTCGAGACATGGCCGTCCAAAAGGAATGCGCCTGGTTGTCCGAAGCCAAAAACAACCGGCGTGCACCCTGGTCGCGAGCGCGGGCTGCCACAAATTCCATGACTTTGGCCAGCGGGAGCCAGGCCGTGGGAGGTTCGTTGGGATTCCAGAAGCGAAAGCATATGGCGGTACCCGTTTCGCGAGGTGGCTTGGCTCGCATCGGCAGGCCCAGGTTGTTGTGGCCGTACCGACACTTCTCTTCCTCGAATCGTAGGTGCAGTGCCAAAAAGGGTTCGCCTCGCAGCTCCATGGACATGTACCGGACGGCCATCTGCTGGAGCCTGTCCACGCGATAAAACCAAGAGAAAGTTTCCTGCACGAGTTGCGCCTCTGCGGGGGCACGGCTGCGCACAAAGCGCGACACGAGCTGATTTGTAAACTTAAAACTTCCCAGGAGTAAAAGGCACCGGTGCGTCGCCAACCCCTCGGCGGCCAACACATCGGGCAGACCGGCCAAGTACACGCGATCAGGGCGATTCACGTGGCGCAGGTGCGTAGGACAGTCGTAGCCGACGCTCTGGAGTGCCAGGCACTGGGTGTTGCGATCCGACGCCTTGCGCTTGGATTCGGGCGTCAGATCCAGCACGATAATCTCGTCCAGCGGGCACGCGGCGCGAAACGCTGCGGCGGTGTGCAGCTGTACGTGACCGCGCAGTCGATCCACATCGTACACTTGCTCCAGCTCCAGATAGCGCCGGGCATTCTCATGCGTATGAATGACCCGCTGCTCGTGAAACTGATTAATCAGGAACGGACCCAGGGTCAGACTCCGCTGCAGCTGCTCCGCCACGGCCGCACATCCCACATACTCACGATGCTGATTCCCAAAGCCAGCTCCATTCACAGCACACAGTGCATGCAACTCCAAGCCATCACTCGCCCACCCCCACGTCCCCAACAGCGCCACCACCAGCAACCCCCAGCCCCAATGCCGCCCTCTCCGCTGCACCCTCATCGTCGTCATTTGAGAGAGAGAGAGAGAGAGAGAGAGAGAGAGAGAGAGAGAGAGAGAGAGAGAGAGAGAGAGAGAGAGAGAGAGAGAGAGAGAGAGAGAGAGAGAGAGAGAGAGAGAGAGAGAGAGAGAGAGAGAGAGAGAGAGAGAGAGAGAGCAGCAGAACAGAGTGAGCAGAGAGAGAGAAATCAGATCACAGATCAAAGAAACAGCAATTACCACCGGTAAAGAGAGAAATGGGAGAAGTGAAGAGATAGAAACAGAAGGACGAGCGTATCATTCGCTTGGGTTAGTGTGGCTCATCAAGTCGAGCGTTTTATGGTCATGCGATGAAGGCCATCAATTTGGTCCGCGGAGCAGCGTGGAGATGATGGGCACAGACTGTCAAGGCAGATCGCAAGAACAGCATAAAAGATAGCATATTATATATGGAACATACACAATGCAATACAATGTCATGATGGGGGCAGCGCAACCCATGTCGGTCCGGCACGCGGGCTAAAACCGAGCGTGGACCCAACGATGGTCGGCAACTCGTCACTCATTGAGACACGCTCTGCACCACGCTTATTATGATGAGGCCGGACTGGGCATCAGGATGCTTGCAGGCCTCGACCGACGTTGAATCAATTGAACGACGTCGGCCGGAAACCAGCCCTCGCAGCCCTGTGCGTCGCGCCCGCGCCAACGTCGATCATCTGTTGTCGTGTCCAAGACGGTCACGGTGGCACCGGCATGCAGGGTCAGCTCGTCAGGGCAAGTGGCCCTGTAGTCGCGCTCCACCAAACCAGGCTTTGGAGCTGAGCGTGGAGTGCGCGAGTTTTGGTGGTCACTCCCAGTCGAGGCGCGATGACCATCGGCGAGGGTCCCGTCTGCGGGTGATGGTGGCACAGGTCGCTTGTTCTGAGGTATCTTGTTGCGACGCTGTACGGGATCCACCTCTGGTGCATGGGTGGATTGCGACAACGGCTGCCGCTGCTCAAGTTCGGGTTCAGGGCCGCTTCGGCGCTCACGGGGTTTGTGCGGGCTGGCTGCTTTCCGCGAGTTTGACTGACCATTTGACTGATGACGTACAAACAACCCAAAGACTCCGCGTCTCTTGCGGTGTGGCTTTTTGCGAATGGAAGAAGATCGTTCGGGTACCACGGGAGGAAGCACGTCGCTGGGCGCAACGGATCGGGGCGGAGGCAAAGTGGGTGGCTGGTCCGTTCGCGCTGCTGGCAAACTTGGGCACCGCTGGTTGTCGGCCGTTGAATTTGATGCCATGGCAGAGCCCGAGGCACGGTGCTCAGACGGTTGGGCCTCGTCAATGCCTCGAGGTGCAGCCGCCGTTGCAGGAGTCAGCTGGGTCGAGGACTTGCGGCGACTGGCCGAGGCTGATGACGAGCGACGTCGGCGGTACGGCTTTTGATCGCGCGGGGGCGGCGGGGCCTTGCGGTTGGGACGCGGGGCAGGGAGGGCCAGTGATTCGTAGAGGTTGGTTCCGCTGGTGCGTTTGTGATTGCTGTGCTTGATCGGTAGCTCATGATTCGAAGCACCGTGGGCGAGGGTGCTGGCGATGGCAGGTGGGGCACGGACGCTGTTGCCTTCAAGCATGGAGTGTAAGAATTGGGCCTCGTGCGGGCTGAGGCGACGGATGTAGTGGGAGGGAAATAAGCCCGAGGATTCGCGGGTTTCCCCAAAGCGGTAGCCCTCCCACCAGGGGTTCTCAAGATCCGCCTGCAGGAGGACAATCACGTCGCCTTTACAAAAGGCAAGCTCATCGGCCTCTTCAGCATCGCAGTCAAACTCTGCAATCACGCAGTGGCGACGCACGTCTGCCTGCGTCTTGAGCACGACGCCTCGCTCGTCAGTCACGGCCGGGGCCGGGGCTTGCTTGCCCTTGTGCAGCGCGTCTTGAGGGTCCACGTAGAGCAACGGTCGTTCCTGCGGCAGCGGGGCTCGGCCCCGTTTAGGTGAGCCGGGAGCTTCCATGCTCGAGGAAGGCGTGGTTTCCGTGTTCATCACGGCGGCCGGGGTCTTCACCGGAGCAGCTTGCACATTGCCTTGGGCAGCTTGACTATGGATCGAATCAGCCAGCGTATCAACAGCCGCGGCGGGAGTGCTAGCTGAAGTGGCCGGGGAGGAGCTGGCGTTTGTTAAAGGGCGGACTGTCGACGCGGCCAGAGGCTCCGGTATTGTGGGTTCCGGGTCAGTAGCAGCGGCTTGGTTTTGGTGAGTTTGAACCACGGCCGTCACCGAATTCGGTTCAGACGATTGCAGAGCCAGATCGTATAGCGAGAGGGCTTGTTGTGACAGCTGGCGCCCGGGCTGTGGCCTCTGGACTGTGTCGTCCGCCTCGACTGGCGGTGACACTGGCGCTGCAGACCCTGAATTGGCGTCGGGACTCGCTTGACTCGTGGAGGAGCGCTTTGAGGCAATGCCCGAGACGGACTTCCAGTGCATGCCTTGTGCTTCGGCTTCGTCGGCATTGAGATTGTCTGTCTCGGCAAAGAGATCGGCAGACCCTTGAGCGGATAAGGTCGAGGGTGCCGCCTGGCCGGCGTCAATCGAATTTACAATTTGGGCATTGTCCTTGCCCGCAAGCGCGTCGGGTACAACGTTAACCTCGTGGTCGTTGGTCATGCCTTCTTCCTCGTCAGAGTCGGGTTCCGTGTCCTTTGCATCTCCAGCGGCACCGCTGTGGTCGAGCACAGAAGGATCATAGGAAGTATAGTTGGAGGGCACCCAACCCAGGCAGGCACCGTATTCGGCAGAAAGGCGAGGCCGGGCTTCTTCAAGGAGCTTGACGTGCGCTGCGCGAATCACAAGGATCCAGCCGTCATCGCAGGCATGCACGAAATGGATGGGCTCGCCTCGAGTCAGGCTGAGTTCATCGTCATGCGCGGCCTCATACGAGAACAGCGCCTCAATCGGCTCTAGATGTAAGCACGCGTTGGTCATGCGGCCACTTGGTATCGGCAGGTGCAAGGCAAGTGGGGCGAGGTACGGGAGATCAAAGCAGTGCCGATGGTGCGTACCTGGTTTGGCGTGCCATCCTTCGGCTGGCGTGGCCAGTCGCGGCTCGGCATGGTTCATGGCGATGCGTTTTGCCAGGAGGCGATGTCACTGGGAAGAAGAAAAGGAAGACGCCTGGCTGCAGCCGCGTCAAGTCGTTGCCCACACCACTCAGGGTGCCTTGCCAAGCCAATGGGCTGTCGTGGAATGTCGCGTATGATCAAACGAGTCAGCACCGGCGGTCAAGATGACGGCGCCGACGACAACAACAAATGTCCACTCCGGCGGTGTCCTTGAACCAAAACTCCAACAGTTACGGGTGCGTCGGATTAATTTGGCAGCGCAGCCGCCAATACACGGAGGAAGAAATGCACCACCCGGGACACGGGATACTCCTTCTTACAGAGGCCACACCAGCTTGCCGGTGGTTTACTCAAAGTCTTGGCCCGACAATGTGTCCCTTCCTCCCTTTCCTCGCATAGCTCAACACTGGCATGCCAAGACCGACTGTCATGACAAGCGTGTGCGGCAACGAGGTACACTCTAGAGAGAGAGAGAGGACACACACACTCATGGTGCATGGTGTGCAGCAGAACGGAACGTCGGTGCGCGAGAGAGAGAGAAGAGAGAGAAAAATTCCGACTTGTCCGCAGTTTTTTGCCCGCTGCTTATGCCGAGTCTCTTCCAGTCTCCGCTGAGATTCTTTCGGACTTGTCAGCAGAAAATGGCGAGTCTCGCTGGTTCCCGGGCAGACTCGGAGACTCGGCCTGATGTCAGATGAAACATCTGGGCGTTCTTAGGTTGCACAACTGCTTTCGTCTCTCTGTTTTGTGCTGGCACTTTACATGTATCTCTGCAGGCTTACCATTTTGTAAGGCTGGAACTTGATTCATCCGACTCTGGGCGGTTATACCTCTGACATCATCGCGGTCTCGCTCCCATTCTCTTTTGCGCGCTGCCCGCAAGTTGACTGACGGCACAGCAGTGCGTATGCCGACATCAGCCACTGCCGCTGTCGCAGCAGGCAGCAACCGCCACAACCGCAGCAGCAGGCAACGGCAGGGCAACGGCAGCAACAACAGCAACAGCAACCAAAACTATAGCAGCAGCACGTAGGGAGGCAACACGCTTCTTTGTAACAGAAGCGCAAGGCGCGTCTGCGGAGCGGACCGTCCGCTCATATCAGCGCCCGGCCGCGTTCTCCAGGGATCGTCACTGTTGAGTGCATAGGCGCGCTCGCACTTGCATACACTCAAAGGCACGGCTTTGATGTGCATCAATCCAAGTTTTGAGACCACCAGACAATCTGTGACTGTGCACAAGGAGGGAGGAGCCCCGCCATCCCACTGCGCACGGGCTCCTCCTCATCCTGCTTGAAGCGAGCATCGCGGAGTTGATTTCGCCGGCCTTCCGGGCGAAAGCACAGCCCAGCAGATGGCCCAGCCACAAACCAGCTCGGCCACGGGCTCGCCCATGCGCCTGGCCGATGCCATCCCCCAAGCCTCGGCCTCGGCCGTAGCCGCCGCCCTCACCAATGACGACACCATACTTTGTCGTGTGAGCATCCCCGAACAAGAGCTTCAAAAGTGTCTTGTGTTCGACAAGACAGAAACTGTTTGGACAGCCAAGCAGCTTGTCCTCAACAAATTGGCCAAGGTGCCCTTTGCCTGTCTCAGCCATGTTCCTCCACCGCGCGCCAACGTTTCATACGAGCGCCTCGCTCATCTGGTTCTGGCATTAGGACATTCCCGGCAATATCAATTATGGCCTCTACCTGCCTCCGGCCAACGGCCGAGCGGGCAAGTATCTGAGCGAGGAACGCCTCTTGGGGGATTATGGCCTTGCTGGCCCCGTGTCAGAGTTGCAGGTTGGTGACCGCGTCAAGGCCTCCTGTTGGACTCAGGCAGGCTATCCTGCCGGTTTACCCACTTCGTCTTGTTGGCCCTCATGTCCATCCACTCGCTTCCCTTGAATGTCAGTTCAAATTGAAGCGTCGCATCTACCTTTCCCTGCCCACCACCAGCAAGAGCCTGGCCAAACTTCACTCGCGCGCCAACGTTCGCAAGGTGTGCAAAGCGTCCAGTGTCCCCTGCCGCTTGTGAGCCAGACTTTCTTCCTGATACCTTCCACCTCGCCTTCTGCATTGCCCTTTCTTCACTTTTGCGCTAGTTTTTCGATGCCGTTGTAAAGCACAACTACGAGCGTGTCACAAATATGCTGGTTAAAGTGCGTCCATGCCCACAGCCGTTGGCCCTGAACTTTGTTCAAAACGTTCTGGTCTCACTGCCTCACCCCTTTCTGTCTGGCCACTGTGCCAAACATCATACCACCGACCACAGGGCATTGATCCGAACATGGTGGACGATGAGAGTGGAGAAACACCTCTGACCATTGCAGCCAAAGGCGACGACGTTGACATGCTCGTCATTCTTTACAACGGCGGTGCTCACCTTGACTTTCGGTCCCGCGATGGCCTCACCCCATTGCACAAGGCTGCGACCCGTGGCATGTTCAAATTTGTCGAGAAGCTCTTTGGTCTTGGCGGCTCACCTGACATGCGCGATAAAGATGGTACGGTTGTTGTAGCTGCGCCCTGGTCTTGAATAAGAGGGTACCATCGGTCTCTCCTCTTATCATGTGCTCATTATGTCACTCCCTCAACCTGTTCCAGGATTGACTGCCCTTTACCACTGTGCGATGACGGGCGGAGGCAGCAATCAAGTCCGCGCTGCCCAGCTGTTGCTCAAGTTTCGCTGTGAGGTTGGGCTCGTGGACCATCAAGGCTGGACAGAACTCCATCAAGCCGCCCGCTTTGGCCACGAGGCCCACATGGAACTGCTGCTCATGTACAAGGCCGACATCAATGCCATCAACACCACGGGCAATACCCCTTTACATGTTTGTGCGACCTGGGACCAAGGCAAAGCTGCCGTCGTTCTCCTACGCCGAGGCGCCAACCCACGCCTCAAGAATCGCGCCGGTGAAACCCCTGCAGACGTGGCCATGAAAGCCGGTTCAGCCAATGTACGTGCCTTTCCTTTTTTTTTTTTTTTTTTTTTTTTTTTTCCTTTTTTCCCATGTAGTTCCGCTTGCCTCGATCGACTTTTTTTTTTTTTTTTCCACCGTTTCGAGGCGTGTTTTATTTGGTGGCTTATAGCAGCCTCTTTGCCTCAATCGTACTGACATGTTTGATCCACGACCACCGTCTTGTGCACAGTTTGCCAAGGCCTGTCGCAGTTTTGATGCCAATAGCATCTCTCGCTACGCCGCAGAGCCCGTGTACATGGTTCCGACAGTGGCCACGCCCCGCACAAAGCGAACTGTGGACGCCAAGCGTTTTCATGCCTCTGGATCGGTGCCCGAGCTTGATCAAGGAGATGTGCGAGCTCGCCAGCTCCGCGAGCAGGACAAAACGCCGCAGCGCAATGGCCGTGCCCCCGAGGGCAAGATGGACCTCATTATCATGCGCGGAGACAAAGGCTTTGGCTTTCGACTCAGTGGTGCTACGCATAGGTATTTTCGTTTCAGGGATCGCCATCTTGATTTGTCTTGGGCGCTGGCCCGTGCTTGCCCAAAATACCATGCCCTCGTTCGTCTCACCACTTACAACCTCTTTTATGGCAGTGCCGCTGAGCAAACGGCTCAGGGCCAATGGGTGCGCAACGTGGACCCAGATGGCCAAGCCGCCCGGGCCGGTAGGTCTCTGCGCGCCGAAATTGCGCTTGCGCCAACCTGCGCCTCTCACCGGCCGGCCGTGTTGCATTTTGATCCCAGGCCTTCAGGCCGGTGACCGCCTTCTGGAGCTCAATGGCGTCGACGTGTCCTTCTGGAGTCACCGCAAGGTGTGCGCATTTGTATTCGAGATATTTGATCTCGTCCCTTTCGTTTCATGTTCGCCTGGCCATGTGTGCCGTCAAGGCGGCAACCGCCTTTCCCTTGTCATCCCATCACGTAAGCTCGTCAATCTTGTCATTCTGACTGTTGTCTCTACCTTTGCAATATTAGGTGGTTGATGAGATCAAACGCAGTGGAGACGTGGTGGCCTTTCGCATCGCTCGGCGCCTCTCTCCTGGGCCTGACGGTGCATTTTCTAGCCTGAACGGGTCACCAGCCCAAACTTCTCCTCGGCCGCCCATGGAGACCGTCAAGCCCCCTGCCTCGGCCTTGCTGCAGTCCGCCCTCGAGGCACGCCAGCGTTCGGAAACTGCTCCAGCACAGAGTCTGGGCAAGCACCGCCCCTTTCAACGCCCTGCACCACTCGACATCAACACGCCGGTCCACACACCGCCCGCGCCGCCCGCGCCGCCCTCGCTAGCCTCCATCCTCAACCAAGCCCCACCCCCAGCTCACCCATCAGCCACAACCTCTTCGGGACAAGCTACTGTTGACGGTGAGCCTTCATCGACGATGAAAACGTTTCCAACTCCTCCGAGTACTCCGACCCGCAATCAGCCCCCGTCACCACCCGCACGGCGGTCTTCACTGAGCCGACCAGGCAGTGCCGCTGATCTGACTCCCTTTGCACCACCTGTCGCTGCGTTCACTGCCCAAACACCACCGCGCGGCGTTCAACCTAAGGTGCAGCGACCACTTGGTGCGGCTCCACCTCCACCCCCACCCGTACCTTCGGCGCAGGCACTCGCCAGTGCCGGTAACGCTCGCCACGTTCCACCTGCACCGGTTCTTCAAGGCGGCCGAAGTGCAGGCCCGAGCCCCGGTCCAGGGTCTCAACCTCCTCCAATGGGATCCATCCTTGCGGGGCTAGCAAACGTCAAGCTCCGGTCTGCTCCCTCCACGCCCCGTCCTTTGGTGGGCGCTGCGGGTGCGCGCGAGGACGGTGCCCTACCTGAGTTTCTGCGTGGACTGCACGATGTCAAGCTCAAGCCCACGCCGAAGCGCCCTCTAGACGACAAAGAGCCCGAGTCTGAAGTGCTTTCCTCCGGGACTGAAGGCGGCACAAGCCTCGGTGACTCAACCCAGACCGCAGCTGAGCGCATGGGAATATCATTGCGAAAGACCAATTCTCGTCTCTCGGGTATCCGCCGCGAACGCTCCAATTCCATTGGTGACGCGCCTAGCCGCCAGGCCAGCATCAAGGCCGCAACATCGGCTGCGGTTGCCACCTCCCCCGCTGCCACCGCCACCTTCCGACGTGGCGATACCATGGATCGGCCTGAGGACGATTCGCCACCCCCTCGGCCTCGCGCCAATACGCTCAATTCGATGCAGCTGGCCGCGTCTCTACGCAAGCCCCCGCCGGTAGCAGCCTTGCCACATCAAAGCAATGATCATCTCAGCAATAGTTCACTGGACTCGGATATGGACACGACTGATGACGAAGGGGACGATGCCCCACCCCCGCCTCCCAAACCCGCCAATATTCAAGACCTGCTCCAGCGTCTTAAAGACGACTCTGCTGCTCCAGCTCACATTACGCAGCATCGCCAACAACAGGAACAACTGACGAGCCCGCCTTTGAACGGTTCTCCCGAGGCGCCTGCAGGATCTACTCCAGGCATCGCTGAACCCAAGTCCAGCAGTCCAGTCATGATGGCCGGTGTTCCACGACGCGCCACCATGCCCGCTCTACCAGGCAGCTCGACCCGCGACTCGCGAGAGATTGTAGCAGGTCCCGTCACAGTGCCCACTCCGCAAACCACTTCAAATGCTGGCTCAAACCAGCCATCCACAGTCGCTGTAGCACGCCCCCCACCGGTACAACCCAAGCCCAAGGCCGTAGGTCCTTCAGCTGGCCCCGCAGGAGCGCCGCCAGCCGTGCCGACCAAGCCCAAGCCTGCCCTTGCTACCTCTGACAGCGTTGTCCCGGCGTCTGCTCAGTCTGACAAGCAAGAAGGACCATCCTCGCCTGTAAAGACCGGGAACGTGTCGAAGCCCAGTGCTGCACGCCGCGAGATTGATTTTGCTCTCGACTTTGCGCTGCCGCCACCACCGCTTCTGGACGACTTTGCCGGTAGCGACGATCAAGTGGATGCCCCAGGTTTGCACAGTGCTCAAACCCCCTTTCTTTTTCTTTTTTTTTTTTCCCCTTTTCGTTCCCTCTCCAGCCTGCTTCCCTCCTTCCCCCACACATCTTACCGCCTCTTGGAATCAAGTGCGCTTCTCACGCTACATTTCGGGGTTGTATCAATGCCGGCCTGGACGGGCATAGACGATGGCGATTTCTTCATCCCCCCACCACCGGTACTCGATTTTGAGCCGGCAACACCCGACTCTGGGCCCATTACGATGCAGGTACGTCAGAGTTTCAGCATGTGTACTGATGCAGGCTGGGGAGCTGGCTCAATACGCCGCAATACCTTTGCTGCTGCCTTCTCTCTCATAGCTCCCACCACCGCCCGAGGCGTTCTTTGAGTTGCAAGGCTCGGACTCGTCATCGGCTGAGTCACCAGCTCAAGCACCTCAACCACCACCGGCGACGGATTCCCCGCCTCGCGCTTGGGTCCATGCACCGCCTGCAGACTCAACTCCGCCAACGTCACTGCCGGCAGATAATGTGGAGAGCGATGATCTAGGACCAGCTCCACCTCTTCCGACAGAGGAGGCACCGGCCGCTACCATGGTTATGGCTGATTTGGCCAAACTCTTGGATCCGCGTTCATCACGCTCAACAGTCGCTTCAACTTCCAGCTCAGAAGTGAGCGATCTTGTGCCCGCAACGCGTCCCCACCGGTCTGCTCCCCCTCCACCAAAAGGCCGCTCCCCACAAGTCAGCCACGTCACCCCAGAATGCGATCTGGTAGCCATCAGTGCTCGCGTCATCTATGCCTACGAGGTACTTGCTGCGCTTTTATGCGCCTGAACCATTTCCTGGCACACCGTAATAACACCCTGCAGCTCGCTTCTGCTCTCGCCTTGGTGTGCCTGTGTTCACGTTTGTGCGTTCTCGTTTGGCCAGGCTCAGTTTGAAGATGAGTTGCAACTGGAACCCGGATCCATTGTCACCTTGCTTGAGACGCCCGATGGAGGGTGGTGGCGAGGAAAGCACAAAGGTGGTGAGGGCTGGTTTCCATCCAATTACGTGCGTCCAAACACGATGCAGGCTGAGCCGACGTCGCGGGCGCAAGCACGACTAAGCCAACCGCTCTTCTCTCCGGCACCTCTGAGTACTGGCGTTCCTGCTGCTGGCCCCAATGCTTCACAAAACAGTACGGCTAGAGCCAGTGCCGCAGGCAGCAGTGGAACGGCATCACGCACCATGTCCCCCACCTTTCGCGGCGGTGGGCCAGCCACCTCTTCTGCAGTTGCTGTATCGCGAGACTCGGACCCCCATCCCTCAGGGTTGCCGTTGCCAGCCAACACTTGGTCCGCTGAGCAAGTTGGTCAGTTTCTCACTTGGTTGCAGCTTGAGCAATACGTCTCAAGCTTTGTTGAGAATGATATCACCGGGGAGCAGCTGCTCGATCTGGAAAAGGATGACCTGAAGGAACTGGAGGTCACGGCGCTAGGCCACCGCAAGCGGCTTATTAAAGCAGTGGCTGCGCTGCAGCCCTATTCCGACGCCTAAGACAGCGCCTGTGGATAATTGCCATGCAATTCTGTGCCCCTAACGGCATCATTTGTCTTTTTAAAGATATTATTCTGCAACGCCTCACGAGACGGCCATCTTTTTTTTTTTTTTTTTTTTTGTGCGTGCGTGTGTGTGTTTATGTGTGGAAAGCTAATTCCTTTGGAAATTTTAATTGAACCATGCTACTCTCAGCTGTCGCCAACACACGCAGATCAGACAGGGCTGGTGGAGTCGAGGCAATACGTCATGAAATGCGTGAGTGGTCAGGTGGTAGCCTACTCAAGGGCAATCTGTCGCCAAGAGGTCAAGACGGCTGAGTCGTCACGCAGCAGCTGGGACACACCCAGGACTTTGGATGATGGATTGGACGCCAAAGCTGCCAGCCGTGCTTGGTTTGCGTCAATCTTTTCCTGCATCATCTCGAGCACAGCCCCCAATGCTTCCAGTGGCAACTTGCGGAGGACGGGATCCTCCTGGACCTTGAGATAGTTGGTAAAGCAAGTGGCGTCACGACCAAGGTGCCCACTTGCCGCAGAGGCCTGGGTGCCTTCGCCTTCACCTTCTTCCTCATCGTCATCTTCTTCGTCTGAGCCATAGCCCTCGGCTGTGTAAGCAGCCTCCTCCAAAGCATCCATCTGCTCGGGCCGGGCAACAAGAATGCTGATGGCACGCAAAAAGTTGCGATTGTGATCTTGCATGTCCTCGAGCACGATGCGGCCAAGCGCACAGTAGGCGGGAGGACCTGCTCAACAAGAAGAACAGGTGTGTGAGAAGTGGGGTACAGAGAGAGAGAGAGAGAAAGAGAGAGATCCAGCAATGTAGCGTGGCGTTGGAGTGCGAAACCAACCGGAAGCAAAGCCTCGTTCGAGGAGTAGATCCAACTTGCGCTCAACGGCCGCGTCGTCAAGAACGCCCTCAAAAGACGGACGCAGCGCAGCCACCAGCTCCTCAACGGGTAAGATAGACTCATCAAAGGGCGTCCCGGTGGGCTCCACAAAGCCGTGCTTTTGCAGCAATTGTTGGTTGTCCAATGAGCCATAGGTGTTGAAAATCTGCGGCAACCAGGTGTTATGGAGAAGCAAGACGTTATCATCGCAAATTGGCCCCGTGCTGGTGCAAGATTCCAGGAGCCCCCCTCTGAGATATGAAGCACTTGCCTCGGCACCGGCAGGGATGGATGCCGCGGCGCACATCTGAAAGAGCGGGACACGTCAACAAAAACAAACGGATGAGTGGTCAGCAGTGGCTGACCAAGGAGCAAAGCCTGCTCATGTGATCGATCGCCGACCTGAAGAGCGTCCTTGGCGTAATAAAGCTTGGCGTTGCATTTGCCCGTGACATGGTTCAGAATATCGGCGACGGGCACCATGCACACCTCACCCGTGGTGTCATCCGTGAAGCTGTAGGCCATGACCACAGCGGCAAAGGCCATGAAGTTGCGACGCAGGTCCTCATCTGTGGTTGCAGAGCCAAAATCAGCACATGCGCCCTTGAACAAGAGCTCAATCACGCAACTCAAAAGGTCAGATTGACATTCATCACGGGCACAAGAAAATGACAAACCTGACAGCTCTGCAAGAGCAGGAAACGCATGGCGGCGCAAGAAGGGAAGAGCCAGCTCTTGAAAATGAGAGTTGATCATCTCAAGGTCATTCTCAACGTCCTGCGCAAGACGTAAGCCAGCCAGAAGCTGATCGCGCTCGGCGCTGGTCCACAACATGGGATGAGCAAGCGTTGTGTGATCGGGCAAAAAGTCGAGATAGGGTCGAAAGCGGGACGCGGGGTCCGTGTTCTCCACCATCATGGCACAAACAAGCTGAGTCCACTGGCGAGGATCTCCATCGCCATCCTCGGGTTCGTCCTCCTCCTCAGCCCAGGCCGCGGCCATTTCTGACAGCTGTTGATTGATCTGGGAGTTGTTCACGGTGATCAAGGCTATGGATGCCAGGCATGTCGGGAGCACACGGCACATGTTCATTGGCCCATCATCAGCGCGGCTGAGGCAAGATCGGTCGTTTCCAAGGCAAGCCGGGTTGTAACAAGAAGAAACGGGCCTACCGCTGCGTGGAATCTCAAAAAGAACGTCTCCTTCGGCCAGCGAGGTGGCAGCTACCATGCCAAACCCGTGCACCACGTCATCCGCGGTCACCTTGACGTTGGGGCTGATCGTAATGTTCATGGAAGTGCACCTGCCGCCCCAGCGCTGCGTGAGACCAGGCATGCGTGCGCGCCAACCTCTGTCCCTGGACCATGGTCACATCCAGCCAGTGAGAAGAGCAGCACATCCTCACCATGACAAAAACTTGTCCATCCGCGCCTGCGCAGGTCGAGCCAGCAGCTTGGCTTGCTTGGCTTCCGGCTCCATGGCTGCCGTCTTGACACGAAATTTGAGAAAAAAAAATTCGATTTTCAATGAAAATTTCGCGCAATTCTGGGAACAAATTCGCACTTGTTGAAGGGTATGGAGAGGTTGATGCGGATTCTATAGTGTTGTTTAGCTTAATTTTAGAATTGATTTTAAAAGATGTTGCAGACCGTCCATGGCCATGTGGTTGGCGGTATTACAACATCGGCACCGATTCGTTTTTTTGTTCTTTTGATGTACACACGCGATTTGGCTGGATCGGGGCCAGGAGGCTGGCTTCCTTGATCTCCAGATCTGGCAGGGAAAAAAAAAAAAGCACGCTGAGATGTGATGGTTCTGAGTGAGCGATGGACTAGACTGTGTTCTTTTCCCAAGAGAAGGTCGAAATTGGTCAGAACCCAGCTTAGACCCGCAGGTTTAGCTGGTATGTCCAGCGCCAGGACTTCGTCGGGTCCAAGGGCGACAAATGGTGAAAGATGGTCATCTTGCCTGGCTCCACGTGCTACAAAGTGGTGTCGAGGGCCACAGCACCGCAAACACAAACCCATGTGACAGGTGGTCGCGCAACCAGGCTCGCACAAACACCAGTCAGTCCAGCTTGCTGACCATGCACAAACAAACACACCTTAACCAGGCATGGGTTATCGTTGGAAAACGCCACGTTGTTGGATCCCGAACAGTCAATCGTGACTTCGGCCTCGCGTGTATAATGCCTGTGGGTTGTGAAAAGGCCGTCAAGTTAGGCACAGCGCTTCCCACTCAAGTTCGGAGTTGAAATTAGACCAGCAACATACGTTTCGACTGCAATGGTTGTGCCGCTGTCGCCTCGCCCCAGCTCCCACACGAGGAGCTTGCCGTTGTCGTATTCCTTTGATTTACCTCGGGCGCGGATCCACTGTAATCAGAACACCGCAAACGTGAGAGTTCCCAAAAGGATTCACAAGCAAGTGTGAGCGCTCTTACCAATTCCAAGGCCTTATGTTCCAGCTCTTGATCGTAGGCGTTCTACGCACACAGACTCATGTCAATGCGATGTTCATCCCGATCGAAAAGCAAACGCGCGAGCAAAGTGCTTACCTGCACAATGGGGGCATTGGCTGTGGAATGAACCGAGAGGACCACAGATCGTTCTTGTGTGGTCTGGAGGTCCTGAGAGTAGCCCAGGTTCCTGTCACGGCGGCACAAAAGAAAGCACGCCGTTCATGAGGCTCGAAAACATCCTCAAAGAAGTTTGTTCCGCAACAACCTACAGCAGGGCTTCGTGGATCTCCGATTCATTATGACGTGAAATGAAGGTCACCAGGCCGTCACGCGTGATGCCCGCTCCCGCGCGCTGGTCCAAAGTTTCGGCCACATCATACGCCTCTTGCTCACTCTATTGAAAACCAACGTGAATGAGCAGGGAAGGGTATGCGCGGTACCTTCTCTCGCCGGTAAGTATGCCACGTACCGCAACCAGTTTGGCTCGCATCGCGAGGCGGGCAAAGTCTTCAGGCGTCAAGAACCCATTCATATCCTAATTTGGCGCACGACCAGGCGATGACCATAAACTACCTCACTCAGTCACCACCCCGTGAAGCACAAGGGAGGGCCACCAACCAGGTCATAGCGGCGGAAGACCTCCCAAACAATGCTGAGATATTTATTGCTCAGCAGGTGTGAGGCATCAAACACCTGCCACGTTTTGTAGCAAAGCAGAACCAAGAGCCGTCCAGCGTGAGCAAACGAGGCGTGTGCTTTGCGTGCGCTCTCATTCGTCATCTGGTAGAGTACTCATGTGAATCAAGCAAAACCACACGCAAACCGACGTTGGCAGAGGGTAGAGGGTATGCCACTTTATCGTGTGTTCGCCTAGGATAACAAATTGTCACACGCTTTGCTATGAGACGAGAACAAGAATTTGTTGGAGCAAACACGAGAGAGCGGGAGGGAAGGTACATCTGCAACAGTCCGTGCTTATCTTACCCAGTCGTAAAGGGCACCACGTGATAGGTGGCTTGCTGCAGCTGAAGACGAAGCTGGGTCTGACGTGTCCAGCTGCCAGATGCAGCCTCAACAAAGCTGAGCTGGCCATCGGGTGTGTACAGCAAGACAATCAAAGCTAGATCAACGTAAGGTTGACCGTGCAGCACACGCTCATCGTCCTGGTGCAACGAAATCCAGCCCTAGAGCATCATGTCGAAACAGATTACAGCACAACAGGAGAACATTGGACCACCCTCCTCGGGTGCAAAGCGTGTCACGTTTGCTGTACAACACCATATCCGTTGCTTACCAGGCAGTCGGTGGCACTGCGCACGGTGAAGGAAGGAACGGTCGGCCGCTGCTGATCTTGGAGCTGCAAACAAGGGACCATGACCAGCATTGAGACTCAAGCTGGACACTTGTTGGTTGTCAAACCTTAAACTCAGAGTTACCGTACATTCAGAATGTTTTTAGCTCGAGACTCGCGCCATGGCAGGCCCTCGGCAGCTAGGGACGTGCGCGGGCAGATGTCGAATCAGCACTTTGCTCGCGAAATGATGTTCATTCTTGACCATCCAACATCCAAAGGGCCTCACCGCTGCACACGTGGCAGATGTTGATGGCCGAGAAATATTGCAAAAAGTCCTCCAGAGACATCCAGAAGAGGCCTGTGATGGCCCAAGGTCATAAGTTGGAGGTGGTGCGCAAAATGCTTGATGGCACACATATATTCCATGACAGACAAGAAGATGAAGCGCACCATCCTTGGCATTGCGCGTCGGCTTGACCTCATCCAACATATCAGAACTGCATTGCCAAGGTGATCCTGGTCAGCGTGTAGAACAACAAGCTTGCATACTCGGGTCAATGTTGAGAGAACGTACGTCCAGAGGGGCGAGTTGTCGGACCAGTCGCCAGTCCACTCAAGTTCACCCCACGGATTGCGGAGCTGAATTAAGCGATGACCCTGAAGATGGGTCATTCACACGAGTGGTGCAGCATGATGAGAGCCATGGAACTGGGAGGCACGCCACAAAGCGCTGAACAAAACAAAAAAAAAGGGGGGGCAGGGGACGCCAACACAAGGCTACGCTAACAAAAGTCACACGCAAACTGTCGCACGTACCCGCTTGGATTTGTACACACCAATGAGAGAGTCTGTGGGATAGGTGGTCGTAAGGGTTAATGTTCACAGCCGGCATAATGAGGAATGCGATCAAGCCCCAGAACAGATCACAGGCACTTACATGCGTGACCAGAAACAAGGCCGGGGCCACCCAGGTCCCTATTTTCCACGTTGCTCCATTTGTCCTCGCCTGGTACGCTGCACAAGACGTGGCAGTTGAGTATGCGCGCTCGGCCCCTTTCGAGCCAGCAAGGCGCATTGGTGTGCCTGTGCTTGCAATACCTAGCAGTCATGACGTTGTTGGCACTATCTGCCAAGGAGAGGTGATCCCAGACCTCTTCTTTGGTCAGCTGATCGAGAAAGTAGGATTCCGTTGGGCACCCGGTCAAGTCCATGAGAGCCTCGTAGGCGAGTCCACCACATAACATCTCGTAGTTGCCAGACAACTTGGCATACGCCTATGAAGCATTGGAGCACCAAATGCAAGTGTTGGCCGGGCATGGGTGGCACAAATAGGCCAAGGAGCCACCAACACACCTTTTCCAGCAAGAGCACCCAGAGCTCGTTGTCGTGTGCTCGGGCAAAGATCGGACCGGATGTGGGAAGCACGGGGATGTAATCGTCCACGCGCACCGTGCGGCGCTCACCGTGACGATACATGAAGATCTACCGGTCAACGTAATGGAAAACACCCGTCAAGGCAAAATCAAGTCAACGAAGGACGCGGTCAAAGGCTTTGCCAAGGTCGAGCACATGCCTCGTATGCTCCGACATCAATATGTGCCTGGCGAGCAGATGGCGGCGGAGTGTTGAACATGCGCGTAATCTATGTCATTGAGCCCAGATTTTCGCACAGGAAGGGCGGCTTGGTGAGCCAAGACTAGTGTGCACGGTATGGCACAGGCGAAGATTGGTTGCTCAAGCCAACCAGAGTGGGAAATTCTGCCAGCGCTGCCAAAGAGCACAAGAGCCTAAGATTCAATGCAGAAGCCAAGAATGCGTCAGCTCGCGCGTGCACCAGCGCAATGTCAGCCCGACACCATGGCTGCCTCGTGCAAGGATGCGCAAGCGAGTCAATTGTACCAGCAGTCCGACAGCCGCCCCTGCTTGATGTCACCGGGCTCTACGTTCTTGATGAAAATATCACAGTCGTGCTTAAAAAACTCTCTATTGACATGTGAATTATGAGTATGCAATGGGTGGCGACGGTTGTTGGAACAGTGAGTGCCGCAGGGCGTACGCGGCGCGCTGCCAGGTGATGGGCAGGTCTGGATTCTTGATATTTGAGTCTGAAGCATAAAGAGCATCGTCGTCGGGCACAAACTCAGTGTCGATGAACTTGACGTTGGCCTAAGGGAAGCAAAAGGGCCGAAGATGAGCTGAGCTGAGCTGAGCTGAGCTGAGCTGAGCTGAGCTGAGCTGAGCTGAGCGGCATTGTGGTCAATGCGCTTGGACAGGCTGTGCGGAGCCCCATGGCTGATACGAAGATGGCATTACAATGCTTTGTGCTGTGTTTCGGAGTCGAGGGAGATGATGCAAACCTTCTGGCAAGCAGAGACGAGCTGTTGCAGGGTCAGGCCATCATCGCCCTGGAAGAGAGGCGTGGTTTTGTAGACATCAAGGTCAGCTTGGATAAGCGTCTCATAGCGGTCAGCCATTTTACGCAGGTATTGCGTCGAGGGCTGGCGCTTGCGCCAGGATAATTTGGTTGACAGGGACCAGCCACGCCTAGAGCCAGTCGGTGTACCATGTTGTTGTGAGCAGCAGGACATGAGGCTGATGGCTGCCGTGGCCAAACAGGCCTGATGAGCAGTGGGGCAGGGGTTCAAATGAGTTTTGAGTACCTTTCATCAAGCACGTAGCAAGAGCCGATGAGCTTGAGCGTCGCTGGCACAGCTTCGCCCTGGAGCACGGTACCACCCTCGGTCACGCTAGAAGAAACGTGAATTCCCAGTGAGGCAGGATTCATCTCGCAAATGGGGATTTCGCTGGGAAAAAGAGGTTGGCAAAGCTTGTGGTGACAAAGTCGAACCCCATGTTGTCTGAGGCGCCAATGTCCACGGTCAGATCGACGGTCATTTGAGTGCGATTGTCAATGGCAAAGTAGAACCTGTCATTGACGAGCAGGGGGGAGCGGGGCGTCGTGGATTGGAGTCAGCCGGGACGAGTTGAAAGGTTTATGAACACCAACATGCAGCGGGATAGCAAGCTGTGAATACATGGTCGGATTTTCTGTTTTGACTCGAACGAGGGTGATATTGGGCTCGAGCTCCTTCCTACGGGTGGCACAAACAAAAATGTTCGTAAGCAATTCAGCAACGGCTGCCAGCGCGCAATGAGCTTTGCAACCAACTTTGTGGTTTCTCCACTGGGAAGGGGGTCGCCATGGAGAAGGTCTTCGCCCGTGGCGTGTGTGCGCGCTTTCCCATCCTCGGTGGCAATCTCACCAGCCACGCCCATCTTATTGGTTTGGTCGTAGCCGTGGAGATCGGCGGCGCGCGAGGGATGTCGGTCACCAGGACCATGGGAAGGCTGCGTCTGTCGATGGGGGTGATGATCTGGGTTGGGGTGAGGATCCGTCTCGAGCCGATCCCGGTGGGTGGTGGGTGACTGCTGTGGCTGCCGCCTCGGCTGCTCGTGGTGGCCGCGTGGTTGTGGTGAAGGGTCGCGGTTTGCGGGCTGGGAATCGCGGGGCTTGGGGCGCGAGCGCATGGTGAACTTGAAGTTGGTGTTGAGTTTCCAACCCTTGCCTGGGTCTTGTACAAACACAGTGCCTCCATGCCTTGAGGTACGGGGGCCCATGAAGACCTTGCGGACCATGGAGTGATCTGAAAACCTATGAGATCGGGACAAGGGTCAAGGCTGTTATCGATTCAGATTGTGATGGCTTGGCAGGCAAGATATCTGGCTGGCTGTGGGAGGCACAGTGAACAAGAAGCATACTCGACGTTGGTGCTCCCAGTGAGCTCGATGGACATGTCCACCTCGTCGTCGGTCTCATTTTCAAAGGTGTACGTGATCCGCGTCGGCTCATCCAGCCGTTCCTGCAGCGTGCACTCGGCTGGTGAGCCATATTGTCCATCTGCTCATGTGCCTGTAGCCAGAGGCACGTCGGAGAAGGAGCCAAGCGGGGTGGCATGGGTTCAAACCTGGAGCATGAAGATGCCAGGCGACAGCTCATGGCGTTCGGCGGGCATTGTGACGGTCGTTTGGCCTCTTGGAACCCGGCCTGTTGGACAGCCTAGGCTCTCTCCAGACTCTATAGCTTTGGCGAAAAAAACCTATGCCACCACCAGAGATCAGCTCAACCCACCATGATACATCCCATGACTGCCTTGCCGCTACTCATCAAGGGCATCCATCCAACTGACCGAGCCACCGCCCTGCCCCAACGCCATCGTACCTCAGATGCTCTGCGCGTGCGTGTCCCACTGGACGGACAGAAAAAATAAAATAAATTTGGACGAAAACAACTTGACGGCTTTTTCACTGCAACAACATTGTCAGATTATACGTTTAGTCGTATTTTATCTACATCTGTTCGCTTTGTAGATGTTACTAAATCTTCATATTCTAGTTACTTTGAGGTTTTATCTGTTCAAATCATCACGTGAAGTTGATTGTCAGTCAACAAATACAAGGTCACACTTTTATTTTTTTGTACACTTTTTATTTTTACATGTAAATGTACATGTACATGTAATTTTTTTTTTTAATTTTTAAAAAATTGTTTGCGCACACCGATTGACGACGAGACCAGCGTCGACAGCACGGTTCGAGAGAGGCAGTGCGCTAGCGCGTGGCAGGCGTGACAGGGTGGTTTGGTGCAATGGCGGACGCAACCGCTGCTGACTTGGCGGCGAAGATGGAGCCTCAGGGCTCGGTAGCCGCGGCAGCTGGGCCGCGACGTGTGGTGGTGCGTGTCAAGAGGCGACACGATGAAGACCCTTGGCAGGCCTTTGGTCAGTCGCTGCACCAACGCGCTGTGCCCCTGGACCCCGTGCTTCGAATCTGATTGAGCGTGTCAACCTGCCAACTCGCTTGGTCACCTCATCCACCTCGCTTTGAACCTTGCTTTTCCTTTGCAGAGCTGCAGGGCAAGCGCTCCAAACAAGTCTCGCGTGCGTGCCCGTGCCATGCGTTGCTATCCCCTGATTTGCTCGACACATCTCACCTTGGTTGTGACGGCTCTATAGACGCTGTCTATCATCGAATTCAGACTGTGCGCGCCAACCAAGACACGGGCCCGTCCCAATCTGAGTTGCTGGTTTGTGCGCCTGCCCGCCCCCCGGCCACAGAGACTTGCCTCCGTGGCCATGCCAATACTCACCCTGCGGGCCTGTGGGCCTCTGCCTACGTCTGTGCAGCGTCGAATTAAAGAGCAGGACCCCGAACTCTTCAAGGCGCACGGCAGCAAAAGTGCACTCAAGGAGCGCGCCGGCGCAAGCGTCAAGCAACAGTGCGTTTTTGCCCAACCGTTGATGACCTCCACTCTGGCCGTCCGATTTGATTTTATTCTTTTATTGTGCATGTGAATTTGGCACACACCGTAGCAACACGGGGTCTGCGGCAGCTACACGGGCGCGCAAAGCTCGGTTTCAAAAAGTTGAAGCCGTTCGCGTCTTGGGCTCGCTGAGCACCAAGCAGGACTCGGCACCCGATACCAAGCGAGCCGCGGCTAAGCGTCAACCATCACCCCCGGCATCTTCCACCACCCCAGGAACTGACCCCACCTCAGACGATGATGTTCAACTTGTTGAGATTGAAACGGCTGGTGTTCAGGCCGACCGTGCTTCAAACATCATGTCCGCCATGACACTCTCTGCCAATGGCATCCCTCTCGTCTCGCGCACCCTTGATGCTGCCGAGCAGGTGAGTTCATCCCAACTGTTCATATGTTCCAGTTTGTTTGTTTCTTTTTTTTTTTTTTTTTTTTTTTCTTTTTCTTTTTTTCCTTGAAACACCCGTGGCTTCAAGTATTTGCGACCACATATCGGGCCTGGTCGCAACAGTCCTGACTCCTCGCGTGTTGCTGCTACATTTGTACCATTTGCCCAGCGATATCGCGCCCAAGCCGCCACCACGCGCCGGCAAGCCATTTTATCTCGGCTACCTGGCACAACCGGCCCTGCCACCAGCATCCGACGCCCAACAGATACAGAGCCTCGTACGTGCTTCACGAGGCGGTGTTTTTTGGCGTCTCGCCTGGCTCGGACCCAGCAACATCGAGCAATTTTGTTTCAAACCTTCCTGCTTGCGCTTTGCTACCCGTAGCCGTGCAAACACAAGAAGCGCCTTCAGAATATGTTTACGATTACTATGTGACTACCGACGATGCCAACATTGACTTTTCTGTCGACGAGTATGTCTTGCTGGGTTGCCCAGTCTCACGGGGAAAGCGCCGGCCTGTTGTCATGGTTCTTCTCACGCGCCCAACACACGCGCGTTGCTTTTCAGGTTGGAGATGCAACAATGGTTTGATAGTCTGCCCGACGACGCTGATGAACCAAAGTACTCTGATGATGACGACAGTAACGAAGGTACACACCTTTCTTGTGCCACCTTTGCCCTGAAAGCAAAACAGAACCCATCACCACTACCGCTGACCATACTTGACCATTGCGAGTGGATGACACCTCACCACTGTTTTTGTGCCCATGGTTGCTGGCGCAGAGGACAATTGGCGCAATGATTACCCTGACGAAGAGAGTGATGTTGACGTTGATCCATACGATTCGGATGAGCCGTCAAGTGGGCGGCGCTATCTGGCCGGTCCCACCGCGGTCGACCTTTCGGTGAGGATGGGCGTCGCAGCTGCTCGGGCCGCAGAGTTAGGGGCCTGTGGACCCGTTGCTTATTCGCCGTGTCCGTTTGCTGTAGACTCAAGCCCACGCGTCCGTATTGGGCTGGAAGGCTGATCCGCAGCTATTTGGGGAACTCAGCCGCTGGACTGAAGGTGCCTTTGTGCCGGACCTTGGTGAGGATTTGGAAGATGATATTGACGACGAGGACCCCGATGCGCTCGATCATAGCCAAGATTCGGATGACATGGAATGGTCGTGATTTGCAAAAAAAACAAAAGGGAGACGGAATGACGACTTGACATTGTTCAATTGCTTCTGGGCGCTGCCGCAGACAGTTGTCGCTGAAGAAGCAAATTGAATGAAGAAAAGACACACAATAGCAACGAGGGTCCAGTCCAAGGCTGATGCAGGGCCCTGCGAGGGCATGATGCGCATCGCCACACACAGAACCACGCGATCCTGGTGGGTTTGAGAACCGGAAAATCAAACGAGTACCCAGCACACAACTGCGTGCACAGGTTTCTATGAACGACAACCAATATCGCTTGAAATAACTTGCGAGTCACTTGACAAAGATTCGCCTCGGGAAAGACATTCCTGATGCCAAACATGAATACACAAGCGTGACAGATGAATGAGGGCCACAGAGGTCAAGCTGTCATCCCCCAGGGCAGGTTGGTGGATAAAAAAAGGTGACATGACAAACCTCAATTGCATTGGCAAGCACATCAGGTTCTTGGGCGCCATTTAAGGTGATGCAGCCACCAATGGTGATCTGCGGCACACCTCGCACTTTTTTGCTCTAAAAGAGCGTTTGCAAGGCGTAGGCAAGCACGAGGTGAGTCGAGCGAGCCGACGCCAAAGCAAGGTTGCAGCGCTTCCTTCCAATAAGAAGGGAGAAAGGACATGTGTGTCAAGGCACGAAAAAGAAGCAACCCACCTCCATGATTTCCTGCTGAAGCTCGGGCATCATGCGACAGGATTTTTCAATCACCTGCTCCGGATCAGGGATGCCCACTTCATGGGCCGCCGCAATCAACACCTGGGGATCTCCAAGGCACTGAGCCTAAGGGAAGGGAGCCATGACAAACATGAGATGATGGATGAAAATGATGATGATGATGAATTTTGTGTTTGCGTGGGTGGACGAGAAAGTGCCCCGACTCTTTGCCTAGCGGGGTGTGAAACCTGACTTTGGTTGCGCTGACAGTCATGTTATTGAGCGCAGCAGTCTTTCTCGGCCTGTGTCCCAAGGTGCGAGTACGGTGCAAATGGTGGCACCGGCTGACGATCAAGGCTAACCTCGGAAAAGTATTTCCGAAAGAAGACTTGCATGAGCTGGTCTTGCTTGCCACAGCGTTTGGCCAAACAAGACATGCGGTGGGCTGGAGATGGAATGTAAAGCGAGAGAGCCGAGCGGGACGTATAAGCTCCAGTACAGCTGCGCATGTGACCCGCGAATCATTCCAGGACATACCATCAATGGTGTTGGAAGTTAGGCCTCCCGCCCTGCAGAGGTCAAACACCCGAGCGAAGAGAGAGGAATGAGTGCTGAACAGGAAGGTTGTGCAAAGAGCAGAGCGAGGACACTATGGGAGTAGTCGTGTGGATAGCTGTGCGGGATAACAACAGAGTGGGCGATGGTGAATCCAGCATCAAAGGGACGCACTGGAAGGGAATGCCGAGGGAGGCCATGAGCTGGCTCATCTGGGCCATCATCGCCTGTGTGCGCTCCTTGCCGAACTTGGAGTTGAAGTATTGAATCTTGTCGACACCCTCCGTTGGAAGATTGGGGTTGAGGAAAAAGGCTTGCCACTCAATCTACACACAAGCGCGCACACACACAAGAGCGCGCGTTGGTGAGCAAAACAAGCCACGACTGTCACTGTGAGCCGGCTGAGCAAGAAAGCAAATGGACGCGCGGGTAGGTACCCCTCCCCCACACCAACCTGAAAGTCGACGTCGGGAAACCGGTCCATGGCCATTTGCAGCTTCTTCCGAAGAACACAGCACCACGGACAAACCATGTCGCTCACGATGTTCACGCGCAACGCCCGCTTTTGCGCCATCCTGACTGGTCACGGAAAAGTTAAAAACGAAACTGCTCTCTCTCTCTCTCAAACTCTCGCTCTTCTCTCTCTCTCAAACCGACCAAACCAATTCATTTCTCTCTCTCTCTCTCTCAACTTTCTCTCTCTCTCTCTCTCTCTCTCAAACTCTCTCTCAACTTTCTCTCTCTCTCTCAACTCTCTCTCTCTTCAACTCTCTCTCTCTTCAAACTCTCTCTTCAACTCTCTCTCAAACTCTCTCACTCCAAACTCTTTCTCTCTCTCAAACTCTCAAGAACTCTCTTCATGCTTTTTGTGTGTTCGTCATTGTGATGTTATGTAGATGTCAGATTGTCAGATTGTCAGATGCATTCTTCATTCATGGAATTGTCAACAAAAACAAGATTTTCATCTCTCTCTCTCTCTCTCTCTCTCTCTCTCTCTCTCTCTCTCTCTCTCTCTCTCTCTCTCTCTCTCTCTCTCTCTCTCTCTCTCTCAGGATGGGAGGCTGCTGCAAAGACACGACGGGCTGTGGGCCGTTGTTGGCGGGGGTGGTGCTGGTGCTGGTGGCCATGATGTCAGTGGCCCAGGGTGAGATCTTTGGCGGATAGCGTCACTTGTTCATTTGAGGGTACTGGTGCTCAAGAATAGCGCTCACAGGCTGCTCATCCAATCCTGCAGGCCATGCGAATCTGCACGCCGGTTCCCGCCCAAACGTACGACACCGCCCTCCTCTGATCTCTGGCTGCCTGATTGATACCTTGCTCTCTCCGAGGAAGCCACACTTTCTGGTCCATCTCATCCCATCCCCTCCACCCCCTTTCCTTCCTTTTTTTTCCTTGTTGGCTTGATCCTGTTGATGGGTTTTGCGCCCTCTCCCGCACTACACTACCGTCGGCTTTTCCTTAGATTCTCATTCTCTTTGCCGATGAGTAAGCTGTGCATCGCTCATGATTGCATCCCTCGGAACATTGCCTTGCTGACCTTGGGTTGGCCTCTTGTCGGCGCCATGCTCGTGCAATCTTCAAACTAGTCTGGGTTATGGCGATCTCTCCGCCTACGGCCACCCAACTATCCGCACGCCCAACCTTGACCAGCTCGCAGCCAGTGGGATCCGATTCACACAATGGTATTCTGGTCAGTATCCCTCCTTCGTTGCAGTTGACGCCCCCGGCATACACTTGTGGTTCTACTTGGCTCATCACGCTTTCGCAATTCGCCCTGGTGTGTCACCTTGCAGCCTTTCACGTTTGTAGTCCCTCTCGGGCTGGTGAGCTTCGTCGCTCGGGCTTTGGTGTTGACATCCGAGAGTCGGAAGGCCCGTGATCTCGTAGCCCATTTTGCATCCTGGGAGACGCTGATACCTATGCCTCTCAAAATGTTGTAGCCATGATGACGGGACGGTTGCCCGTGCGCAGCGGCACGGCTGGTGATAAGTGGACCGGGGGCGTCTTCTCCTCGACTGCCGTAGGCGGCTTGCCCCTGAATGAAACCACCATGGCTGAAGCTTTACACGATGCAGGTTACGCTACAGGGGCCTGTGGAAAGTGGCACCTTGTGCGTCTCGTCTGAAGCCGCTATTTGCACCGTTGTTGCACCAGATTCATGCAACGCCCCGCGTTTTCCTTGAATGTGAACCATCACACCGTGGTGTTGCGTGCTTCTCGCCGAAATAGGGCGTTCGTCCGGAATTTTTGCCGACCAACCGTGGCTTTGACAGCTACTATGTGCGTTTCCTCCGCCCATCTTGCAACGCAACACGCTTACACCCGATACCGAATGCAGCTCACAGCCAAATAAACGAATTAGGGCGTACCGTACAGCGTGGACATGGGCGACAGCGCCTGGGAGCAGAACAATCAACCAGATCTACCCGTGCTCAACAACACTCAAGTTGTGGAACAACCTGCCAATCTCAACACACTCAGCCAGCGCTACGGTGATCACGTCGAAAGCTTCATCAAAACTCAAGGCACCGACGAGAAGCCTTGGTTTTTCTACATGTCCTTTAATCACGTGCATGTGCCAGACTATGTCAGCTTGAACCTCTGCAACACTAGCAAACGTGGGCGATTTGGTGACGCTTTGCAAGAGCTGGATGCTCTTGCTGGTCGCATCCTGCAGGCCCTTGATGATTCTCAACAACGTGAAAACACCATCATTTTCTTCACCTCGGACAATGGCCCCTGGCTTATCAAGCTTCTTGCCGTGTGTACATGCCAGCCCTGCGACAATACTTTGACAGCTACAACCCATGTCTATTATTTTCAACTATCTGTGGAATGTTTGTTCCCCTTGATGCCAAGTCAAACTTGTTCATGCTTTCTCTAATACGTAGGGAGGTTCTGCTGGCCTGCTCAACGACGGTGAGCAGCTGTCTAAGTGTCCCGTTCATGCGCGTCGCTTGCCTCGTTGAACAAAAATTTGCATGAGACTTCGTGCTAAACGACACTCTCACGCCCAACATACTTGATAACTTAGGCAAGGAAACAACATGGGAGGGTGGTGTGGTAAGTTATTTGCGCACTCGATAGGCCAACGAGGACAATGGATCATCTGATCTGGGATGTTTGGTAGCTTGAGAGCCGACCGTTCAGTCGTTGAATTCCCGGTTATCCTTCTCTCCATACCTTCCCTCTCCGCCTGCTGGCTTGTAGCGCGTGCCTGGCTTTGTATCATGGAAAGGCAAGATCAGTCCCGGTCAAGTCAGCTCGGAAGTTGTCACGACATACGACATCTTTCCGACTGCCCTGGCCTTGGCCGGAGCTGCACTTCCCAAAGACCGGGTGATTGACGGGCGTGACATGGCACCTGTTCTGTTCAATCAGAGCGCCTCCCAGCACGACTGTATTTTCATTTACAAGGGCACCCCTGGTGCGCAATGCCCAAAATCGCAGCCGAATTGCCCAGGCCTGTGGGCCGTGCGCTGTGGGCCTTACAAAGCTCACTATGTTACCTCTCATTGGTACACCAACGCTAACAACGGTACCTTTCACGACCCTCCCCTCATGTTCCACGTGGAGAATGATCCTTCGGAAGCTCAACCGGTGAGTTCCATGTCCAGTGGTTGCCGTTCCTGATGAAAGCAAATATTTGACGCTAATTGCATGCTCGCGTTTCTGCCAGATGGATACATCAACACAAGAGTACAAAACAGCTTTGGCTGCCATTACCAGTGCCAAATTGGCCCATGAAAACTCTCTTGAAACAGTCCCTAATCAAATCGTAAGTGGTGGGATAATGCATTTTTCTAATCATTCGGCAGCATCTCAACTCTGCGCACGCTCGTGTTCTACCATGTCAGCAGCATGCCCATCCTCATGCTGTTCCGTGATGTCTCAATTAACATGCCCCTTTTCAACATCTTTTATCAACATTGTAGGGCATGGGTTCACGCCCAGAGTTCGCCATTTGCGGTTGCCCGTCATCTCAAAAGCAATATCCTCAATATCCCAACTGCACCTGCAACCCAGATAACTTTGATGTTGAAGTGTCAAAGTCGAGAAGACGGCGCCAGTTTGGACATTTTGTGGTCATTTTGATCTCAAGTGGGGCACGCCAGTGGGGCATGGCCCGTTACCCGACCTGTCATAATTCAGCTTTGTTTTGTTAACAACATGCAGGCAGTCCGCATGAGAGGTTTTACCCGAATGGGAAAAAAAAAAAAGAAAGAAAACAAAATAGCTTTGCGACGCTCCAGGACGGCACGTTTTGGACGCTAACAGTGAGATCACAGCAGCTATGGGAGTTTCAGTGGAAAGACCCATAGTGATCGACACTGAGTGTGCGAAAGCAGTGGAATTGCTCAAATGCGTGGAAGCACGGATTTGACGCTAACACCCAGCTGTACAAAGAGACTCGTTTTCAGTGCTCAAATTCGTGGAAGCACGGATTTGATGCGAGACTTTCGGCGGGAACAGCGAAGGCTTTGATGGTGTCTTGAGGTCAATTGAACTGGCTGCGATCGCAGTGACCAGATCAGGTGCACCGTTAGAATAGCTGCAGGGTCGCTCACAACAAGAAGCGACAATGGTTGTGTCACAAGCACACATACAAGGCAGTCTGCAAAGGCATTGCGAGATATGCCATCGTGGGAAGGCACGCCTCAGTCTGGGCCTGTGTCTGTGTGTGTGTCAATGTCTATGTCTGTGTCTGTGTCTGTATGATCGTCAGTGAGTGAAGTTGTGCCAACGATGGAGTGCTCAAGCGACGAGACTCAGAGTGGGTGATGCTGAGTGCGTGCGATGGCAGTGGATGTGTGAAAATCCATGTGCATGGCTTCACACGCATACCCCGGTTTCACACACCACCCATGCACGTATAAGAATAATAAATTAGGTGTTTGAACCTCAGAGCCGAAAGCAAAGCTGTGCAACCCCGACATCAAAATCACGACGGCACGCAAAACAACACAAGAGAACAAGACATTTTCATCGGCTCCTATCATGCCGAGGAGTACAAGCGCGAAGAATCACGCACATAGAAACAAAAATGAGCCTGGGGCAGGTACCCCCGGGGGGGGAAAAAAAAAGCTTTTTTTTTGGGGCGGCGAGAGCCGCTCCAAAAAGAAGCTTAAATCAATGAAAATCAGGAGAAAATCAGGATAAAACAAACAAAAGAATCATAGTTCGTGCAGATTTCTGCCTCGATCGTTACAAATTGGAATTGCTTTGATGAAGTTGAGAAATGGCGGCAGATGCGGCAGATGCGGCAGAGGCAACAGAGGCAGCAGAGGCAGCAGAGGCAGCAGAGGCAGACACAGCAGACGCGGCTGCCAGTTTCCCTCGAGGTTTTTGCTTAACAGGACACCAATTGCGCTTGTGGTTGATGGCAGGGCCACGGCAAACCGAGCAAATGTGAGGGGTTCGTTTGGCACTCTGGAATGGAGCACACAGCAACCGACAGCGAGTGAGTCCACATGGCGAGAAGTTCTCATGTCATGAGCATGCGGTGGAATTCGACGTACACGTGTGAAGCTACGGCTTCTGCCTGCATTGCTTATAGCCTGCTGAGCCTGCTGTGCCGACTGCGCCAGTTGCGCAGTGTACTGGAGTTGAGCAGCCCAGGTCATGTATTGTGCCAGGAGGTGTGCATTGTACTGGTCAGCCTGCGGGGCAATAAGCTGGGCCAAGTGCTGCGCAGCTGCAAGTTCAGCTCCAGGTGATGCGCCGACCCCGGCGCCTGATGTCAAGCCACCTGATGCGGAGGTGCTCGACGGGCCAAAAGCCGTTTCAGCGCTCTCGGCAGCTGGAACCGAGGAGGCTGTCGCTGACGGTGCTGAGACCACTGGTGTTGCTGACACTGCTGTCCCCGTCGTGCCATCCACACCCGAGACAACCTGAGCGATGGTTGTCTTTTGAATGTGCAGCTGCCGATTGGCACGACATGCCTCCGCGTGCGAGACCGGCGTACGTGGCACGGGCATGGGTTGCTGCGGCGACTCGCCATTGCGTCGCAATCTTGCATCAGCAATCCTGGAACAAGTGTCCTGGAATTGCTGCATTGCCATCTCATACTCCTGTTGATCTATGCCCAAATTTACGTCCTTGACTTGATCTATTGCAAAGTAATGTCTTGACCATGCGGGGTCGAGACAAGTTGCGTCGCTTGAGCGACACGACCTTTGCCATTGCGGTTGTGTCCATGATGGGTTTTGGCCTCCATGAACTCATCAACGTCAAGCCGACGGACAAGTGCCCGCTTTGCAGCAGCAAGACACCTCAGCCGCGACTAACCCGCGAGCACCTGCTGACCTGCCGTCCCATCAAGCGACACAACGCCCTTCGCGACGAGATGGGGCCGCCTGCTCAGGTACGCCACCCTCTCCCATGTCTGGGTGGAAAAGTCTGGCTACAACGCCAA